TGGTCTTTGAAAAGAACGATGGTATTATAGGTGTGTACCGCCTGGCCATGGGTCAAAACCCAAATCGGCTAGCCCCCAGTGAACATCCGATTCAATCCAACCACTAAAATCGGAAGCCTAAAATGGGTGGGGAATTCACCTACCAACCAAAATGGGATACCAAAACGGTTTTGACAACCAGGTGAGTGGCTGGTAAGCCAAGTTATAAGCAGGGGTTTATTCATCCGGGGTAGGCATTGTAGGCAGTTCCCGCCTCTTCCTCGGCGTTGCGTCGGAATTTCTCCGTCCCGTTGCTCGAACTTCCGCGCCTGCGCGCGCAGGCGCTGCAGCTCCGCGAGCACCGCCGTGAGGGCGGTGTCGTGCGCCTGGAGCGACTCCGTGAGGACCTGGGATTCGCCAGCGAGCCGTGGATTCCCCGGAGCCCGGGCGAGCCAAGCGAAATGAGCGGATTTACAGGCTAGGTCCTCCAGTGGAGAGGTTAGAATAAGGGCACCAACTTTTCTCTGTAGTCTATTTTTGAGGGGAAAAAGGGTGAAAGGGCAGTACTGGGGGACCTAGAAGGGAAACCCCCCACCCCAACTATACTTTAAGGGATAGTTGTTTGACTTTACACAAATATCTTGGCTCAAAAGGGAGTGTTGGACTAATATCCTGTGACATTGGGGGGGGTGTCAGGATCAATTGGAGCTGAGCTATTTCGTCATCGACCTCATGCTGGTTCTTCGAACGTGGCCATGGTCTGGTTTAAACAAATGTTGCCAACTTAGACCAGGGGGGTTGTAAGTTCGTCCCTTCACAACGGAGTGTTGGAATTCCAATCCGAAGCCTAGACCAAGATATGCGATCTCAATATGTTTACCGGCAGGACCCTGACGCTGCAAAATGGCACGCGCGCTTGAACAATCAATATACAAAATTAGCTTGCACTCTACCTGCAATCTGAGACCACTGCCTGTTGAACGGCACTCAACAACAACCGCGGATTAATAAACCCCTGTTTATTAATATGGGGGTGGGGGCCCCTCCAAAAGTGGTCTGAATCCCCACTAAGACCAGGGACACCCCCATATGAATAAACAGGGGTTCACTAATCCGGGGTTCATTAATCTGCGGATATCCGCCTTCTTAATTGTTTACCTGGTTCTGGGGTTACGAACATTTTAATACCAGGTTTTGAGCAAGTGACTCAACTGCCTGAGCGACACTCAACAACAACCCCGGATTAATAAACCCCTGTTTATTAATATGGGGGTGGGGGCCCTCCAAAAGTTGTCTGAATCCCCACTAAGACCAGGGACACCCCCATATGAATAAACAGGGGTTCACTAATCCAAGGTCAACATTATACAAAGGAGAGGTCTTTCATGGCCCAAAGTGAACTCATTTTTCCCAAATCGGGCCAGGACGGCCCAGCTTGGGGATGCTGGTCGAAAGGACCAACTCTGAGGCTCGTTTCCGATCTGCACGGGACAATCATGTGTGTAGCATTTGAAAGGAGCCGATTTGTTGGAATCCATTGTAGGGTCGCCCCATTAAAGGTTTGCTGTACAACTTCAGAATTAAGTGTATTGTTTTCCTGTGTTACAAAAAAAGAACCAACAGAGGTGGCCTATCGAAAGATTGCCGTGAGTAGATCGGTTACGCCATTGTTGTATCCTAAAACCAGGCCACCATCAAATAGTGTTTAATGGAGAAACCAAGCCCATTCTCGGACTCTGGCAAAGACGCCGGTCGACTGAAAGGGGCAAAGTACTCAAGCGGTTCGTCACCATAGATAAATCTCCGGAATGATCAATTGTGTCAAAAAGTGTAGAGGGGGGGTAGGGGTAGATGGCAAAATGCGGGTGAACAAGGCTAGTTCCAACTCTACAATATCCGACAGGAATCAGTTCCAAAACCACATCCGAAACCAAAGGTGGACAAAGGAAGGAGCACAAACCCCCAAGAGGAAAGTAGTCTGTCTTGTGGGGGTCTGTGCACTTCCCATGTTAGTCGGTGAGAGGGTAAATGGGTTATAACTTGGCTTACTAACCACTTACCTGACCACGATTGGGTATCTTTTAAAAGGTGTTGATAGATAGATAGATAAGTAGAAAATTACAAAAACGGATAGATGGAATAGAGGATGGATGGATGGATGGATGGATGGATGGATGGATGGATGGCTGGCTGGCTGGCTGGCTGGCTGGCTGGCTGGCTGGCTGGCTGGCTGGCTGGCTGGCTGGATGGATGGCTGGATGGATGGATGGATGGCTCACTGGCTGGCTGGCTGGATGGATGGATGGATGGATGGATGGATGGCTGGCTGGCTGGCTGGCTGGCTGGCTGGCTGGCTGGCTGGCTGGATGGATGGATGGATGGATGGATGGATGGATGGATGGCTGGCTGGCTGGCTAACTAACTAAACGGATGGATGGATGGATGGATGGATGGGTGTGTGGATGGATGGATGGCTGGCTGGCTGGCTGGCTGGCTGGCTGGCTGGCTGGATGGATGGATGGATGGATGGATGGATGGATAAATTAGATTAGATTAAATCCGCCGACCCCATGCCTGGTCCAGAATGGACCATGCTTTCGGCATGGGGGGCGGTGTGTTCTGTGTTGCTTTTGTTGATATGCTTTCTATAAGTTTAATGTGAATATGATTATGTAGATATATATATATATATAACCTATATGTCCCTTGGGGCGGCCCTTGGGGCTGGTTTCTACGTCGGCTGGATTTCTGGATTTCTGGATTTCTGGATTTCTGGATTTCTGGATTTCTGGATCTCTGGATTTCTGGATCTCTGGATTCCTGGGACTCCTCCCTTCCCCCCCCCCCCCCTCCCCCTTCCCCTCCCTCCCCCCCCCTCCCCCCCCCCCTCCCCCCGGCTTCTTCCCGTGGTCTTCCGTAGTCTTCCGGCTTCTCCCAGTAATCTTCCGTAATCTTTCGGCTTCTTCCCGTAGTCTTCCGTAGTCTTCCGGCTTCTTCCCGTAGTCTTCCGTGGTCTTCCGCGTTCTTCCCGTAATCTTCCGTAATCTTTCGGCTTCTTCCAGTAGTCTTTCGTAGTCTTCCGGCTTCTTCCCGTAGTCTTCCGTAGTCTTCCGTAGTCTTCCGGCTTCTTCCCGTAGTCTTCCGAAATCTTTCAAGCTTCTTCCCGTAAATTTCCGCAATCTTTCGGCTTCTTCCCGTAGTCTTCCGTAATCTTCCGGCTTCTTCTCCTAGTCTTCCGATACTGTTTCGGGACCAAACAACGCGCGTGTCCTGTGTTCGGGCTTCTTCCCTAGGCTTCGGGTAGTCTTCCCCCACCCTCCGCCCCCCCCCCCTGTGTCTGTCTATGTCTGTCTACGTATCTGCATCTGTCTTCGTGTCCGCGAAGACCCCCCCTGCCCCTGCGTGTCTGTCTGTCACTCTTTGTGTCTGTCTGGGTCTGTCTGCGTCTGTCTTCGTGTCCGCGAAGACCCCTTGCGTGTCTGTCTCTGTCTCTTTGTGTCTGTCTGTGTCTGTCTGTGTCTGTCTACGTATCTGCGTCTTTCTTCGTGTCCCCCCCCCGCGTGTCTGTCTGTGTATTTGTGTCTGTCTGGCTCTGTCTGCGTCTGCCTGCGCATCTGCGTCTGTCTTCGTGTCCGCGAAGACCCTCCCCCCCCGCTGCGTGTCTGTCTGCGTGTCTTTGTGTCTGTCTGTGTCTGTCTACATATCGCGTGCTTTCTCTCGTCCCGGGCCGAAATTCTAAGGTGTGTGGGGGCGGCGGAACCAGGCCGCAGGCCATTAAATAACTAGATAGATATCGAATCGATCGATCCTCCCAGGAAGGCCTCGTAGTCGTGCACCAGCGCGCCCACCGCAGCCAGCGCCAGCTGGGTGTCCGCCTCTCTGTCCTGACCCGCACCTCCACCAATTCAAAGACTCAAAACCCAACAGATAGGGGTTCATGTTTCGACTGCCCACAAGTGGACTAAAACCCAGTTCATGTTTCTGAATCCCCGAAGGTAGGCAGTGGTATGGAGTAGCGGAACGTTGCTCGGACAGTATAAGACCTAAATGCGTCCAGTGAATACCCCGAGGCAGACTAAAACCCAGTTAGTTTTTTTGGATACCCAAAGTAGACTTGGACCCAATTGATTAACCCCGGAGTCAACAAATGGAACCCGGGAAGCAGAACCAAAAGTGGGTTACACCCAGACTTTTTCTAACCACTTACCTGACGTACCCTGCCCCTTCAAAGCACACCTCCAAAGGTAGACCAAAGGTAGACCTCAACCGCCCGCCCTGCGCCTCCAAAGGGGGTGGCTCCCAAGTAACGCGACCTGGCGCCTGGCGCAGTCGCGACTGCGAAAGCCGGCCGAACGAGCTTTACCTGAATGGACATGCTTCAGCTCACCGTTGGCTTTCATTCAAAACAAGGCAAGAACAGGCCCGCACGCCCCCCCTCCCCCCGACAAACAAACTTAAATCAAACAAATAAAAACAAAAACAAAAGCGACAAACAAACACCACAACGATGCTTTTCGCACGCACGGCATCTTGCCGCTCCGACTGCTCCCATGTTGGGAGCCTGCCCTTTGCTTTGGCGTGCAGTGGCGCACGAGGGTCCGCAATCCAAATCCGAGAAACTTGGCCCTCAGCTCCTCTCCCTCCGAAAATTCTGCGCACTTGGAGCGCGGATCTGATAATCCAATGCTGCTTCAGAGCCATACTGTGGACGGCCGAAATCCTGCACCCCCTAAGAAACCCTGGAATGATTCGATTTCCCTGTCAATTCCAACAAGCAAAGGTCTCCCATGCTTTGACAGTGTTGCAGGATTTCGCCAATCCACAGTAGCACTGGCCCACTGTCCTTCGCCTCACGATGCTGCGTGTGGTGTTGAGGTATTTATGTGTGGCTGTGGCTGTGTTTGCTGTTGGTGCGGTTGTATATAGCCATGGGTCAAAATCCCGTACCCCCAGTGAACAGCCCAATCCCCACTAAAATAGACCAAAATGGGTGATGCACCTAGGGATCCCATTGGTTGTGACCCACAGCCATATGTTCGCTTTGAGTTTCTGCTAAGTGTGGCCCAGAAGTCGAAGATCGAAGGGCGCAAAGGGCCTGCCATTCGCCTCGGAGCCGCGCCATGAATCTGCTGGATGGACTTTGGACATCATTCAATGTCCTAAACTTGGTTGTTTAACTTTGGGGGATGAGTGGAAAACCCCTTGATATCCCAAAAAAGTTAAAATCTAAAGATCCAACCCAATAGCGGGTGGACCCTTTTGGACATCATTTGCATGCTTGGACATTTTTGTTACGCCAGCATGTTTGGTGTGCCAACCATTGAAACTAGAAAACAGATACTGGAAAAAGGGGAACAAAACCATCAACTCACTCGCCCAGGACCTGGAAGCTAATCGGCTCATCTTTTGGAACCTTGACTTGGACACCAAATCAAGGGGTGATGGATTTTGTTCAGGACTTCACAACCGATTTCCTGGAAATCCAAGACCAATCTTTAAAACCAAAGAATGAGAAAGGGAGAAACAAAAAACGCGTCAAGCGAGTGGGCATGGGTCAAAATCCAAATCGTACCCCAGTGAACATCAACCAATCCCCACTAAAATAGTACCTAAAAATTGGTGGCGAATTCACCGCCAACCAAAATGGGATCCAAGACCGTTTTGACCACCACAACCATTTGGGTAATAACCATTTTTCAAGGGTCGTGGGGACTCCAAATTTAGGTGGGGCTTTTCAGGTTCCCCAACAAAAACATTAAACTGTTGTGACCAACCAAAACGGGATCCAAAACGGTTTTCCCCAAAATGACAATCCCCTTGGTTGTGACCCTAAAATGGCTGGTGCAGCTACTTACCCCTTAAAACTCCAAGGATTGGGGAAGTTAATCTTTTACAGACATACAGCCCATGTTACCCCCAAAAAGTTGCCTTCGCATCTCACCGGACTGGGGGCACGGCAGGCGCCCGGAACCTCTGCTTGCCCGGGTTCACCAGCAACGTCATGTGCCTACGGCCGCGAAATGCCTACGACCGGAGCCTCGAAATGGTGGGAGATGCGCACTGACAAAAACACTCCTCAGCTGTCTAAAACCCCCCTAAAACGCTGATGTCCATCCCTGCCAATCCGTATGCCACAGCGATCTGGTTGGCCTGTGCATGGCCTCCGAAGGGAGATGTTAAGAGGCCAAGTCTACGGGTCGTCTTAGGACGACATGCCGGGCACCGTCCCATGGCGCGGCCGCCCCCTTCTCGCCACGAACCCCAAATGGACCGCAGACGAACTGCGATGAGTTGACCAAACTTGGCGCAAATTCACAGGGAGCGACGAGGGGGAGCAAAGCATCAACAGCTTCAGGAGAACCCTGGCTCAACACTCTCAGCAGGGCTTGCTGATGTTGACCCTATATGGAATAGCATACACCTTGCGGATCAACAAGGGGGGTGTTTAAGCCTAGTCTCAAGCAAGTCAAGATCTCGTAACCCGGTACCAAAACCCATGGTAAAGAACCGAATGGGCGGATTGTGGACCCATTGTGCTTGGCATTGGAAGGAAGCCCAAAAGAATCGTTTGCCATTTTAGGATGGCCTTATTCATTTTGAGAAACCAACAACATCCACGCTTTGATTGCCGTGCACAGGTTCAGATGCACATCACTTCACATCACTTCACATCACTCCAAACGTACACTACCTTTCAAATTGGCCCTTCCACAAGTCGATGCTTCAAAACATCACCCGTAAGGAGCTTGGACAACTCGGACGAGGACCGACTCCGATGTCGGTGCCAGGCGGCAGGAATTCCAGGAAGGAGATGGTGCCGCTCTTGTCGATGTCCAGGGTCTCAAAGAGCTCCTTCAGCTCGTCGAAGGTCAGGCCTTCGAAAACAAAATAAGCTCAGGTGATATCCCCAACAGCATGCGGTGCTCTTTTTAGTGCTCGCACCACCCCGCAGCCCTCGCAGAACCTCGTGGAAACCTGGTGGAACCCTGGTGGAACCCTGGTGGAACCCTCGTGGAACCTTGCCCCAGGGACGCCCTGGACCACCCCAAAGCCTGTCTGGGCTGAGACCCCAAAGCTTTCAGCTGTTGGGGAAAAAAAGAAAAGACACGGCCTGCCCGAGCGCTCGGGTGTCGGTGAGTAAAAGAACAGAACAAGCAACCGAAGAGTTAGTGGCTCATCCAGTATGTACAGGGTTTCATTCACCTGGCCACGAAGCCGGCGGAATCCATCTGTGCTCAAACAAACTGACTTTGAATCCAATCTGAAAAGGACACCCACTGGACATATGTATTTTTGGGGCCGTCACAACTGCCGTCTAGAAGTGGTATGAAATGGTGGTAAGGGAAGCACCCCCCAAGACCAACTCCGAGAAGCCCTCGAAGTGCAATCACCAGGGCGCCAGAGCTACGGTCCGAACTGATGACGAAGCTGATCGAAGGGTGATGTTGGCCCAAGGAATCCACACATCCCAAAGCCAAGTTCTTGGAGGTATCAAGAGCCCCCCCCGTCTCTCAATTTGGGAAAAATCACCAAGCACCTGGAAAGCATGAAGAATCTCCTGGCCACCTGCGTTCCCTTTGGCTTCCTGTGATAAAACGAAAAACAGTCGCAATAGCCTCAAAACCTGCAACCATTTGCCACAGCAAGGCCACACTCAGAATGGGGTCGGGAGCTTCAATACCAAATTAAGAAGAGAAAACAATAACAACGCTCATCAACAACATTTTTTTTTTAAAAAAAAAAGGAACCATAGAGCAAACCGAGGTCTCCCCTTCGCCTCGGCTTTTTTTGACGGCCAAGGCTTGGAGCCGCCCGCCCGCCAAGCTTCCCTTCCCGGTTCGGTGCGAGGCGCTCTTCAGGCCCAGCAGGCCGCAGGCGCGCTTCACGCCGATGAGGTCCAGATCTCCGCCCCCGGAGCTGTCGATGACGTCGAAGATCACCCGATACTCGTCCACCATGCCTCGAGATCTCTTTGCTTGGCCCAAGGAAACGGGAGCTTGGCAAGGTGCCATGGTTTTTGGCCTCAAAAGTGTTCGGTCGCGGGTCCACCCGCGCCCAAAATCGGGCGCCTCGATCCAGTCCTAGGAGGGCTCAAGGAAATCCTCATGGGTCTAACTTTTGGGATTGCAGTACCGCAAGGTTTGTCTCGTTTTGATTTTGTCTCGAAATCACACGAAAGGTTCGGACGAACACTTCTTAGACGAGGTTCTGATGGGGTTCAGGTCCGATTCGCCTCTCCTGATTTTGGGATAAGGCACCCACCAAATAGCCTTTGCCCTTTGAATTGCCATTGAAGCCCCCGCAAAAGGGGGCAAAAAAAACACTCAGTTGTTGGCTCTGAATCTCAACATAGAAATTGCCTCCAAAAAACAGGGTGGACCTAAATCCAACAATGTGAATTACCTCCACCAAAGGGTCGCCCATCAAAACGTAAAATTCCCGTGCGACCATTCAAGCCCAGACCCAGTGGATGTCCATGCGAGACAAGGGGACCCTTTTTGGGGTAGTTGACTTTGGGAACTCCAAAAAAGACGAAAAGGGGAAACGAGAACCAGAAAGCAGCAACCGAGACTGACCGGCTCACAAATAGAGACAATCCCAACTGACACAGAGCGCGAGAAAGAGACAAAAATAAAAATAGAGAAAAATAGGGGAGAGAAGGAGAGAGAGAGAGAGAGAGAAAAAGAGAGAGAGAGAGACAAAGAACCATGTACATATTGTAGATATATATATATATATGTAGATATACACAAAGTCTCTCCCAAACACTTCACCACACCTTCCGAAACTTTTCTCCGAGCCTCGGCTCTGAAAAACCCGCCCCTGCCGCCTAACCGCGGCCGAGGGCGCCATCCTTCAGCCCCAGCCCCTTGCCGTACTCGCGATCGTCCACGCGAGTCCGGGTGGCCTCCCACTCCTTGGCCTGCGCTCAGAGCTGGGGAACGAGCGTCCGAGTGGTGTGATGTTAAAAGGACGCCACAAGGGACACCCACAAAGAAAAACCCGGCCATACAGGCGGGTCTTTTTTTCAGGGTACCTGGTTGCTTTGTGGTGTTAGGCGAAAACCAAAACGGAAACTTCACAAAAACCATGGAGGGGTACCAACAAACTATGGCCAGACCCGTCTGCCGAGCGGATTTGCTTGCTGGTTCTCGGGGAATGAGAAATGGAATGACCCCAAGAAAAAGACACATCCATCCTCTAGTTCCGCGGAAATCCCCAACAAACCCGGTTCATTCCACCAACCCTCACACCAAAAGGGCCTGGACCTATATGGGGAGGACGAGTTTTTTGTTGGTGGGTAATTCTCGTATTTCTTGTGGTTCTAAAAAATGACACTCCCATATGAGCCTTTTCACGGTTGGTTCAAAGCGAAACGACATGGGTTTGGAGTTGAAACGTGCAAACAAGTTGGGGCCCTCCAGGGTACCCATGTTTTGACTACGACTTATACCAGGTTGTTGTGGGGCTCCTTCTTTCAGTTGGAAACGCCCTTGTTGGGGGCAACAAAAGGGAACCTCCAAAAACGGGCGGATACCCTCAATATTGGAAGTAGGCACCATGTGGGTAACTGGAAGTAAATTAAATCCCTGCATGTAAGATCTCAGGTAAAAATTCATGGAGGCAATATTCCTAAAATTCATGAAGTAAAGTTCCTAGAGGTAATAAGGCAAATTAACATTCCAGACCAGAAGGGTCCCCGAAATACTCCCTTGGTAAGCCGACCACACTCAATAATACCGACCAACCAAGCAACCAAGCAACCAAGCAACCAAGCAACCAAGCAACCAAGCAACCAAGCAATCCAACCCAACCAACCCAACCAACCCAACCAACCCAACCATCCCAACCAACCCCAACCACCGTCTCCGAAAACCACAAAACCAGGCAAAGGCAAGGCGAATCGGCGCGTCGGGTTCCTTGTAACCTCCCACTCCTTTTTCGGCCGACGGCCGAAGATTCGAGAGCGCGGGACTCGTTCCGAGGCCCGCAGGGGTACCGGGTAGCACAAAGCCACGGCTAGGAACCCATGTTTGAAGGATTTCCTACTGGTTTCCCTTAGAACAACTTCCTCCAAAAAGACACACACACACACACGCCACACGCACACACACCACACACCACACACACACACACACGTCTTTGGGCTATGTCAATTTTGCCCTTGAGAAGCCAAGCTGAAGACTCGGACATCGCCATGCAAGTAGGCCTGGTTCAAGCTAATCGGAACCCGACACTCATAAACCGATCGGTGGGAAGGCAACTAAGCAATAGGACAACGATCGATAGGGGGTGCCCTTGAGAGGGAGTGTGGATCACGAGTTGGGGAGTGGACAATGTCAGCAGTGGGATCGGGGGTGGTTGCGAAGATACTTCAACAACCACTTCGCCCCTTTCAATGTGGACTAACATAATGTCTGTTCAACCACAAAATGAAGAGCTGAAAACGGGGGGACTCCTTTGGGTCTTATTAAGCCTCCAAAGGATGGTTGACTTTCTTTATACTGCAAGGGAGGGAGGGGAGGGTCGGGGAGGGTGTGATCCTATCCAAGGGCGTCCTACCCTCATTGGCATGGCACAGAAGCCCTTCGGTAGTAGAGTGTTTGGGTGCCTTTTTTGGAGGGTGCCCCTGTTTTGGTGGTTTTAGAGGGAAGCCAAAATGAAAACACAATTTTATGGGGGGCTTGGTCGACTTGTTGATTCCGCCCAATACAAATCTTGGACACCACTGAAAACCCAAAAGGTGCGAAGCGCAAGAGCAGCTTGTCCCTGTCATGCATGCTGGATTACAAACCCCTCCGCCGAGTGGAAATGTGGCGTGGGTCTGTTGCGTGCCTTCTGCAGTCATGCAATATGAGTGAGGAAATATAATTTTCAGGGCCCTGATTCGTTCACACCTTTCCTTTTCTCCTTCTTGTTGTTCTCTTTCCATGGCCCACACACTAAAATGCCCTCAGATTCTGCATCATCCTTTGCCTGCCCTAAAATATAAGGAAGCCAAATTTGGAACAACCACCCCCAGTTCTCATGCAAATGCCTACCAAAAAACAAAAAACGCTAAAAATGGCGGAGGCCCGCCGGTTTCTGCGACTCCCTCGAAGACTTCGAGCCCTTCGGCTGCCTCCCCTCTCCCCCTTCCCCCGAGGCGCCTGGCGCACGAAGCGCACAAAGGCCTCGAAGTCCAAGGTCAAGGGCTTGAAGCCGAACTCGTTCACCTCGTTCCTGGGACGAGAACGAGAGACTCGGGAGAAAAAGTCGGAAGGTGGGAAGCGGGGTGCCGAAAAATTCTGGAGGGCTGGGAAAATCTCGCTATTTGGGGTCGTTGTTCTGTGCTTGGTTTTTCGTATTGGGGGCAGGGCCCGATTCTGCTGTTGTTCTGCTTTGTCTTTTTTCTGGGGGGGGGGGAGGGAGTCTCCCTGGACAAGCGGTAAGCCAAGGACAAGTTTTTGTCGGCCTTAGAAAGGGTTTTAATAGGGCTTCCCCTTGTCCGCAGACCTCGGAGGTCCATATCGCTGTCACCCGGGGCCTAAGGCTGCTCGTGTCTGTTGGGCGCCAGGAAAACCACATCCCAAGCCAAGGCACAGGAACTCGAAGATCTTCGTCTGGTCTTCTCGGTGCTTTGGGCCCAGCTGTAGCACTTCCAGCGCCTAGGTCCGCCACAAAGGACCAAGGCCATTCTTTTAAATAAGCAAAGAGACAACAGTGGAACCCGTGGATTCTGAAATCAACTCACCCGAAAAGGCATACGGCCATGAGGATGGTTGAAGAAAGCTGTTTTCGACATTCGGATGAATTCAGACGCCTCTAGTCAAAGAAACCACCCTGAAATAGATCATGCTCTTATCTCACTGCCGTGGATTCGCCAAAAAAAAATCGCGACACTAAAACGGTCTGCCCAAACAGCAACACCGGGAACTCGGGGGAGCGAGAGTTACGGGGAACCACTTAGGAAACGGTCTGGATTGATCCAAAGTCAACAGGGAATCCTGGCACGGGTGGGAATCCATTTGGAATCGTTTGGAATCCCCTAGACGGCGTCGAGTGCAAGGGATCCTCCCACCAACATAGCACCCGGGAGTACCTACCGTAGATCAAGTTCCTCTTGAAGTGACCGAGTTGCCTGTCCGGCCCGATGCGAGTGGAAGCGGGGATGATCATATACAGAGGGGAGCCATTGCGGCCTAGTTCGCATCAAAGGGGCCCATCTAATTCCAACCAAACTAACGAAAAGAAGACAAGAAAGGACACCTATGACACCTATTAGGTTTAAACCCATCCAATTCTAACCAACCGAACCTGAAAAGGACACCCATCGTTGGGTTCCCTCTGGTGTGGTTTCCCCTAGACAAACCATGCAAAGGAGCCTGGGACACTTCCGGCATACCCACGGCATCGCAGCCGAAGTTCACCGACTTCTTCCGCCTGCCGATCCGCCCGAAGATCCCACGGCCAGCGAAGGCGGAAACTCCCGATCCCTCCGTGCTTGACGGGGCAGGGCACGTCAGGTAAGGGGTCAGTGAGCCTGGTTATACCCCGCTGAACGGAGACTTGTAACCATGGTAAGCGGCTTGTAGCCAGGGTCATTGCCCACTAAGCACCCTGACCCTTTGAGGACATCGGCACGCTCCGAAGGTGCCCCAACCGCGGTGCATCCTCCCAGAAACCGGCACTCCCTTTGCCGCACCGCGAAGCTCAACCTGTGATTTGAACTTCTGCCTTTACCTACATGGAACAGCCTCCCCTTCCATGAAGCACGGAATTTAGCAGCCCTGCATGACCAGGGTATCTCAATGGCTTGTTTGAGCAATTGTGGCTAGGGGCATGTAAGGACCTGCGTCACCCCAGCTGATCGAGCGTCGGCCGCTCGAGAAATCATGGACGATTTGACGCATGCCTTTCCTAAGGCTTGTAAGTGGACCAGCCACATCCGGCCACGGGACGGTGGTAAATTGCGGTAGGTTACTGGATGCCTAACTTGCTCCCCATGCAATATTCCTTCCCTATCTGACATGCACGATTGCCATGGAATGCATTTGATGTGTGTGTGTGTGTGTGTATTGGATCCCTTCATACCCTCCCATTAGTGGTTTTTTGGGAATGGTCCCAACGCAAACCTTGTCAGTCCCAACACAAACCTTGTCAGTTCAAACACAGCTTTCACCATCCCTTGTGCCCTTTCGGGTGCGGTGCGGGGGTTTGTTCACAGATTTCATTGGGTGCGGATTGATTTTATGATTTTTTCGGTTTTTTTTTTTTGATTTTTTTTTCCCCCGTTTTTTGTCCGGGCCAGTAACATGTTGTATTTTACAGCATTTTCTCGCAAAATTTGCGCATTTTAAACTAGCCCGTCAACATCCCCAGCATCGTTTTCAACATCCCCCGCATGTCCGACCAACATCCCTAGCATCACCAACAAATCGTGGGTAACAAAATCAAAAAAGTAGCTGGCGGGTTGACGGGGTCAGATTCAATCAGCAGGGCGTGTCAATCCCAGTAAAATAAAAAACAATAAAAAATAAAAATAAAAATAAAAACAGCGGGGGGGTTGGGGGGGACGGCAGCCTCCCCATGATGGTCGCAGAAGTGATGATTCGAATAGGGGTGCAATTAAATCTTTGTAGAAAATCTAAAACTTAGCGGGGGGGTTGGGGGGGGCAGCCCCCCCCCATGATGTCGGAAGAAGTGATGATTCAAGTAGGGGTGCCATGATTCAAGAAAGGGTGCGATAGAATTTAAACGGCAGCGGGAGGGTTGGCGGGGGTGGCGTCCCCTATGATGTTCGATCCAATGCATACATACAAACATACATGGATTACACAGATTACCTAAAATGTCGTAAATTGGACGCTCGAAAAAGTGATGATTCAAACAGGGGTGCAATTCAATCTCTGCGAGAAATCTAAAAAGTAACGGGGGGGAGGCGGCACCCCCCCCCCATGATGTTTGAAGAAGAGTTGATTCAAATAGGGGTGCAATTACTCTGCAAACAATCTAAACAGTAGCAAGTGGGTTTGGGGGGGGGTTCGCCCCCATGATGTCCGAAGAAGTGATGATTCAAATAGGGTGGTGGTGATGCTGATGATGCGGGAAGCCAAATCCAAAAACCAATGAAAGGGCGCAAAAGCCAAAAAGCCCGAAGGATGCGAAAAGCCAAAGCCGTCAAAAGCCGCCAAAAGCCGCATACACCAGCGAAAAGCCGCAAAAGCCAAAACGCCACCTGCCGAAGAGGAACTGGGAATGCAGAGGATGCGAAAAGCCAATACCCCTCCGATTTCATTTGAATATCAATTTCAATAGAGGACTCTTGGTAGGCATTGTGTCCACCAACCTTTTTTGGGTGGTGTTCCAATCATTAAACATCATAGCCAAATGCCCCCCAAACTCGGCGGCTTTCCTCTGGTTTGCCTCTGAAACTCCCACCAAAAGGGCGTACCAACTCCAAAACAAACCACACACACACACACCCAGACGAAGTGGTTTCCAACCGCTCACGCGCCCCACCCGCGCCCCTTCACACGCGACGGGTCGCGGGATTCCGGCGGAGTCCTTCGAAGCATCCGCTCGAAGAGGGGCGCGAGCTCCTCGCGCAGAGACCTCGACTGCATCTGCCGCACCTCAGTTGCGCTTCGGCAGCTACCCGCCGTTTGGTGTGACTTCGCCCAAGATGGGTGTCTTTTCTTAGGGGACGCCCCCGTTTGGCGGGGTTCCCTTTGGCTTCCCTTCAATCCCAAAAAGGCTATAGGCTTTCTTGAGCTGGGTGGTTCGCAGGAAAAGCTCAAGGGGCACCAGTTTCATTTTGGGGGCCTCTGCCCACTTGCCGCTTCGATGGACACCCCTAACCACAGGTTGGGGGTTTTGGATTCGACCCCAAAGCCTGGGCTTGGGGGGCAGGTTGCAACCTTAACCCCAACCCAGGGTTAGGTCAAGCCACCAGGTTTCAGGTCCCTCGAACCGAAGGAAAGGTCCCCCCTGGTGCCGTGAGAAGCGGCGCTTGAGGTTCGCAACGGTTTGGTAACCAAACTCAGCGGCGAGAAACCAATTCAGCCCCTGGGGAGTGTGGTTTGGTAGTGAGAATCAGAGGGAGGTCCTACCTCCCATAAATTACCGGCCTGGCTGACAGGGCTCAGGTGCCAATGGGGAGCTACCTAGAGTCTCCATCTGCCGTGTACCTGTATTTTTGCGGTCGTTGTTCAAAGGTCATGGAGACTCCAAGTACTTGTCCCAACTGGAGATACCAACCAAAATGAGACAGCTGAGTTGTGCAGCATGGGTACCCCGCTTGGGTCAAGGACTCAGTTTCTCTCAAGTACCCTGGTAGGACTGTGAATTTAGAGATTTCCCCAAATATGTCTGTGACTCTCACTGATGAGCACCCTCGCAAGTGGCTGGATGACCCTAATACACACCTAAATTAAATGATGCCGCTACAGGGTCCTCAGTGAAATTCACACCCCTTCTGTGGATGGACGAAATCCTGCACCACCTCAGAAACCCTGGAATGATTCGATTCCCCTGTACATACCAACCAACATTATGGTTTCAACCATGGTTTCAAAGTGGTGCGAAGTGGACTTCGCAACCATCCACAGCATCAAACCACAGGCCATCTGTCGTCTATTTTAGTAGGGGAACCGTCCCCCAAAAAAGAAACGGTAAAAGGGCGCCTAGCTGGGGGACCTAACCTATTGCAGGCAAACCAACCACAGGTTCCATCGGTAAAAGTCACGAGGCGAGGCTCCAGCGCCGAGAAAAAACCGCGGGGCTGAGGCCACCGCGGTCTGCACCAACTGCAGGAAGCCCGGGAAATCCATGCAGCCTGACGGAACTTTCTCCATCAACCCCATTTCCCCCGAAACCCACGGCCTTTGTGGTGGGTTTTTGAGTGTCTCGTGTTTTAAGGTTGGACCCCCCAACCAAGGGGTACCAACTCCCAGTTCAACCCATTATTTATTTATTTTTGGGGGGGGGAAATGAATTCCATGGGCCACATAGGGAAGTCCCCTTGGACCGGCCCCGGCTCAAAACAGGGGGACCCCCAGAAGGGCCGGTGTCCTTTTGGTGTCCCTCTCAACCCAAAAACAGAAACACCTTTTTTGTTTATTGGTGCGCTTCTTGGGCTTGTGTACACAGAAACCCAAAGGAAACATCATCCTTAGGGTTCCGCCCTATTTTCAAACACCTATGAAGACCCAACGACAAAATGGGTATGGCTCCAAAATTCAACCATCGCCAGAAACCCGCCGGGGTTCCGTCCATGTTTCCATCCACCACCCCATTGTGGGGATTTTTGGGTTGCCCCATCTTCGACCCGCCCGCCCCAACCGCCCACTGCACGAGCGAGGCCTTCGTCCAGCGGCCCGCACTGGGACGCCAGCGTGAGGAACTCCGAGCTCTGCAGCAGCGCCTTCAGCGCGCCCCGGGTGCCCTGCCACCGGGCGCTCTTCCTCGCGACGAATCGACGCAGGCGACGCGTGCGACGCGACGAGCCCCCGCCTTTTTTGGGCGGAGGTGCCGGTTTTTTTTGCTTCCATTGGCGTTTTTATGGCCCCTGGAAGAATGAAAAGACGTCCGGTAGTGAAATCGTTTCCTTTTAAAACCAAAGGGAAATAAAACATAGTCTTCAACAAATGGAAGTGTGTCATGGGCCCTGGACCCCCCAGGAAGGCTATGGGAAGGGGGCGTATTGCCCCCTGAACTAGGCCTTAAGAGCTGGTCCTTGGCTTCTCCTGGGCTTATCCAGGGATAGCCCCCACCATAGCCCCCTAAGAGTCCAGGATTTTGAGGATCCCCGTTGTTTGGTGAGCCGGAAAACAATGAAGATAGAGGTCAATATAGGTGGTCAATACAGCTGGGCATACGAGACGCGACCCGAAATAGGGCAGTGAGTCGAAAACTGGTGTTTGAGGTGAAAATATAGGGCGGTTTCAAAGGGCAAGCCTCTTTTCGAGCATCCCGCTTTTCGGTGGCTCTCTTGGGATTCCGTGACAAAGTTGTCAAGGTCTGCCTCTGAAGGTGATGGTTTCGGTGAGTCACCTTCAAAAGTCCCTTTGGTGGTTGCCCCAAAGCTTCTCAAGGATTTTGGTCCCCTCGGTGCCCCAAAAACAAGTCGGGATCATGGAGACCGGCTCACACGAGGAAAAACAACTGCAACTTGTCTGCCTTGCTTGTTTCTGCGGCAGAGGCGGAACAAACACATTCTTACATTTTGACCAAGACTCTTGTTAAAGGCTACACCCAAAGCATCACCCACAGGCAGAAATCCCGAAACAAAAACAAACAAAAAAGCGACAAACAACGCCTGACAGCGGACACCCCAAAAGTCACCCACAGGCAGAAATCCCCCCAAAAAACAAAAAAAGAAGAGCCTGACCACGGGTTTCATGGTGGCACTCGTCTCCTTTTAAGGAACCCCGTCTTTTCGCCTCGCAAGGTCTCGCGTTTTTTGTTTTTCCTGGAAAAACCGCCCATCCATCGCTTCCATCGAACCCGAAACCCGAACCCCCCGGCAAGCCAGCCGGCCTGGGCACGGAGGAGCGGAACCGAGCGCAGAGGGGGCTCTGGATCCCGTCGCAGGCCACGTTGATCATCACCAGCATGATCATCTTGTTCTGAGCGAAAAGCTCCGTTTGGCTCGTCTCTTCTTTGGACCCCCCCAAAAAGTTTGAACCCCCCAAAAGTTGTTCCTTCTATTGATGCTGGCTTGTTCTGACCGTTGCTCCGTCTTTTGGTCCCATGTGACACAAGAACAGGGTCGGGGAGCAGGGGGGAAATTATTTTTTGCGGCATTTCCTTCTTCCAAGAAGATGGTTGCGGTCCCATTTGGCAGTGGGTGCAAAAAATGGAATCCCCAAAATGGCCCCCTGGCAAATGGAACCAAAGACCGAAACCTGCGGCTTGCACTAGCTCTTGAATTTTGAGCCACGCCCATTTGACGCGTCTTTTCTGACCGAGTTGGACCCCTCAAAAGTTGGCCCATTTGGATGGCTCGTTGGGAGGGGAGTAAGCCCATGTCGGAGGGGATCCTCAGATTTTGGGGGACATGTTGATTCCGCCCAGTGGGAGGGTGACGCGGGAAAAGGGTAGGGGGCAGGGTTGGTTGACTGTTCGATTTGCTTGGTATCCTGTTTGGGTGTTTGCCATTCCCAAGCCAAGCTCCTTGAAACCCTTCTTCCAATCGGTACCTGCTCGCCCAGAAAGGTTTCGCCCGTCAGGAAAACGCCATGTGTGTCAAGGTTACCGGCGACTTGTGTCTTTGCCCGGGTTTTAAGGAGCTGCTTGGGAAAGCCAAACCCTTGGAATCGAAGCGTCAACCAAGTCAAAGTTGATATCCGCTGGCACAATGGCAACTAAACCACCCGCCAATGGCCCTTGGTCAGAGAGTGCTTGGGATGAATCCCGACAACTAAACCTGCCTTTGTGTCGAAATGCAGGGGCCCAAAACATGGTGGCCGTCATAGGGAAGGTGTAAAGGGTACCCTCAAAAAGCCCAAACCTGTTCTAGAGAATCCCGGCACACAGACACACACACACAGTCCAGCCTGGTCTGTGGCGGGCAACAAGCCCAGGTTGCTGAGAGCCACCCAAACCTCCACCTGGCACCCCAACAAAGGGTCCGCTTCCGAGTCCTTTCCCCAAAGGGTGCCGGGACGCGGACACTTGAAACTGGCTGCATTTGGCCCTTCCCGCCCAAATGCAGATATATGGGGAAGCCCCCAAAAAACAACGCCCTGTTGCCGGGTCCTCCCCGAAAGCAACCAGAAAAAAAGAGAGAGGAAAAAAAGAAGAGAAAAAAACCGGCGCTCACTAACGCATTGGGCCTTCTTGAGCACCCCTGAGCGAGTGTCGTCAAAGGAATAGAAGAGGTCCCTCATGGTTTCCAGCTCCTGGCAAGTCACCCATCAAATGCGTGGCTCGCCGTTTCTTGAGTTGGCAGCCGCCTTTTCTGGCTGGCAGAACGCGCATTGCTTGGTGGGGTGCCCTAAAAGAGAGACACCCAAATGGCGGAAAAGGGCCAGGGGGGGGGGGGCCTGGAAGTTGGCATTTCGTAAGTGTCCCTTTGAGGCAACCCGAGAAATTACCAACTCCCTTGGAATCACACTCGGAGCATTTCTTGGATGGCACATCAGACTCTCGAGCCTCCCATTCTGGCACCCCACCTTAGTTGAAGCCAAAAAGCCCAAACTACAACACCAAACCACCCATTAAGAATTAAAGGGTTACCTGAAGTTGGAACCTCCCAGATGCGTCGATTTCATTTGGAAAAAGCATCGCCTGTCTGTGTGTTGCCTCATTGCTTCTTTTCATTCGTACCAAATGAAAAGATAAAGTCTAAAGATCCGCTCCCAAGTCGCCATTCGGTACCTCCGCACCTCCCCTTCGGAGCGAAGTTTACCTATCTCTCAGGTGCCAAGAAGTGGGGAGAATCTTAGTCACAAAGAAAGGCACCAGGCCCCTCACCTGGATTCCTTGTCCCTGTCATCGACAAAGAAAGGCCACAAGCTGGCAAGGCATCCGAGAGTCATAAATTCCTTTAAAGCCAACAAGGGGAAAAAAGGTATTCCGTGAAGAAAGTTAGCCACAACATAAACATATTCCACACACCTTCCACAGAATAAAGCACAAATTGTTCAAGCAAATGGGAGTTCGCCACCAGGACCCATCTGTCAGGTGCCAGAACCAAGTGGGGGGGAGCCTTCTTAGCCACAAAGGAAAGGCAACACGCTACACGCAGCTCCCCCCGCAGCCCCCCGCAGCCGACCCCATCGCCCTCGGCTCCTTCCGGAACTCCTGGAAGAGCCCGCGGCTCAGCCCGAAGTCCTCCGCGATCTGCAGCTGCCGGGACGCCGCCAGCCGCCCGTGGGCCTCGTGCAAAAAGTCCACCATCACCTGTCCCACTGGTGGGCTCGGTTGCAAACTCTGCGAAGCCCATTTTTTTGCTTATTTATGTTTATTGTTTTTTTTCTTTTAGTGGTTCTATTCGGCAAACCCAAATTCGTGGGCAAAAAGTTAAAGTTCTAACATCCCTGGGCAAAATGCACCAAAGTGGGATGGGTGTGGTTCCCTTCTTGAAGGAGAAAATCTCTGGGTCGAGAAAAACGACACCGGATCTGGGGGATTTGACGGGTTTGGGTGGACTGCAGCTGGGATGTGTGTCGGGTTTTGATTGTTGCTCACCTGTCCCACAGCTGGGATGGGTGTAGTTCCCTTTTGTGAGGGAATCTCTTTTGAGCTTCATAGCGAAACCAAAGGGACACCAAAGGGAAACCACGCAAAAAAAATGACATCATGTGAGTCATAGCCAAAACCCGGTAGCAAAATGGTCCACCCAAAACCATGTAAACAAATAAGCAGGCGGCCGCAGCGATTTATGGTTGGGATTTTCCCTGACTAACCTTCAGTACCCGGGTTGTGATTGTGGCTCACCTGGTGCAGCTGGGATGGGTGTGGTTCCCTTTTCAAAGAGCGAATCTCTAGGTCTAAACAACGACACCCCCGGATCTGGGGATTTGATGGGTTTTGGTGGACGCCGTTGCCCCTGGCAAAACAGGAACAGCTGAAGACCAACAAGAAGAAAACAAGAAAAGTGGATGAGAAACTGATTCGGAGCCTTGCAAGGGGAGCCATGGAAAACCCACCGTCAACAAATTAGAAACACAACACAATGAGTTTAACCTGAAAGCCAAGAAGGTGGCTTTCCACACAGGGGAGCCAGGAAGAAACGACCAAGAGCGTGTTGGAGTCTCCCCATAGTTTTGGGGTAGTGACCCATTGTTCAAGGGGTACGTGACCTGGGCTATCAGTTTAAGTGGGTTGCAACCAGGCGCTTTACCAGGCTTATTAACAAATATTTGGTTATTAGATGCGAGGGTACCTTTGTCGTGACGTCCCCTCTCGAAAACCAGGGTTCCCCACATTCCCCGCTGAAAACATCATCCCACCTAAAGGAAACTCACTTCAAATTGGCAACCTGTTTCAAGTCCAGTTCACGGGCCATGGGTGTGGCGTTTTTTAGGGACACCGCTCCCAAAACAGCATGTGAGTCACACTCAACACCCGTTACTAAAGTGGTCTACCCAGAACCATGTAAGGAAATAGGAAGGCATCGTCCTTACTAAGCTTCATCTACCCGGGTTTCGATTGTGGCTCATGTTGCTTTCCTTGGGGTTCCCCTTTAAACCAACCAAAGAAAGGATTCCCTACAGAAAACGAACAACACCCAAATAAATATCTAGGGGTTAGTTCCCCATTCTTTTCAACCATCGTTCTTTTCAAAAGCCAGCCGTTTTCCCTGGGTTTCAAAGGAGGTTTTTTAGAAAGAAGGATCCCTGGGTTGAGAATGGAAATGGAAGGTCACCAAACAAATGGAAGGGGAACCCCAAGGAAAGCAACATGTGGGGTTCCCTCCAAACAGGTCAAGAACAGCACCAAAAGTACCAGGATTTTTACCAGCCTGTTTCCTCCAAAAAGGGGTTCCTTGGGGTTCCCTTTTAACCAAATAGAGCCGAAGAGAAAACTCGAGGCCGCGCCTCGAACTCGAACTTGTCGAACCTCACCTCCGTCAGCATCCGCGGGAGGTCCTCCAAGGCCACGTCCTGATGGAGCCGCCAGCCAAAACGAAGCCTCGAATGGGTATGGGTCAAAATTAACCACCAGACAAATCGCAGGTTTTAGCCCACTTTCCCATTTAGGGCAACCCATTTTGAGCACGAAGCTCAAAAGGGCCCACTTACATGAGACTCCTCAAGAAAAGCCACACTTTGGGGTTTCCCTCCCAAAAAAGACTCGAAGACACGCCAGCTTGGCACGGGCTCCACGTGCCCGAAGAGAAGCTCAGAGCTCAAAATTGGCCATGGGTCAAAATCCAAATCGTACCCCCAGTGAACATCCCAATCCAACCACTAAAATCGGTTGTAAAATGGGTGGTGAATTCACCTACCCCAAAATGGTACCATTGGTTTTGACCCACAGCCAAATGTTCGTGCCTTGGGTTTGGTACTTCAAGGGGCAGGGTACTTATTAAGTGAGGCTTTCACCATGGTTGTTACACACTTACTAAGTACCGTGACCCTTTAAAAACTTTAAGTAGGTTGCAAATTAAGGCTGCCCCCGAAAACCCCACAAATGTCCAGGTCTGGTTTCTGTCTACAAAGTGAGGGTTTTTGGGAGTTTGGAAATGGATTAACATGTTGGGCGACCTAGAAAACAAATTATTCTTTTGGCTTCCCTTTAAACTGTGGGGTGGATGGCGGACGGGTTGGACAGATTCAGTTTATGGTGGATCGATCTAAAAGATGGTAAGTGTCATTTCAGGGCTTTTAATTTTTAAAATTCATACGGGTTTTCAAACTCGTGAGGCAACCCTTTTAGGTCCTGCCCCATGTTGAGAAGCAAAAACACCTCCCATTCAGACCCCGCGCGCCTCCATAAAAAGCTCCTTGGACCCGCTCCGCTTCTCGGCCTCCGTCTTCTCCCCGTAGGCCTGCAGAAAAAGCTCTCTTCGATCGCGTTTTGGAGCCGGATCACATGGAGTTTGGGAGGTGGTGTTTTGGGTACCCAAAAATCAGCTCTCCTCCAATTGGTGGTTTGGATGGGTGGTGCGGTTTGGGAGTGTCCTATTCAGCCTCAAGAACCTGGGGTTCAAACCCCCCAAACCAATCCAAGCCAGCAACTAAGGGTTGCCTGACGACTGGATCGCCGAGCAAGTGATATCCAAATAGAGGAACTCCCGAAAGATGCTTCCCATTTAAAATTCGGCTTCCGCACTGTCACAAAGGGTAGCGTCAACAAAAACAAACACACACAAATCAGTGGAAGAACGGCAAGGACATGCAACAAGGGAGCCATGACAGCGGATGAACACATAACCAGCGAACATGTGAGTTGGCAAGCACACCAAGAACACCCGAAAACTGGCAACTGAACAGGGATGCATCTGGGCAAATTCTGTTATCCCCAGGTGAGCTAGATATCTGTTTGCTGCTGCATTCACATTGCGCTCCAAGCCGCTCTCGGATCGATGGACACGGATCCTCAGAATGGTAGGAGCGCGTAGTCATCGAAGGAAGTTTGGAAGGAGCTTGCGTGTGGCACGGACACCAGTTGAAAGCTAGCTCTCTGAAAAGAACACAAGAGGAAGAAAAAGAAAAAAAACGCGCGCGCTTGTGGTGGGGGAATGGAAATGTCCGAGAAGTGCAGCCTTGTGCACGAATCCAGCTACACAGCATGTGCGCAAACCGCCCCGGACACGACCTTTGGGCGGAGGCCATGCTCGGAGCGACTGCGGAGCGGTGATTTCGCACAGCACTTTCGCAAGGCCAGGCACAGCTTTGGTAACAGGGATGTATAGATAGCGAGAGACAGAAAGGCAATACAGAGAAAGATAGACAAGATAGCTGGAGAAGATAAATAGATAAGACAGACAGCCAGACAGACGGACGGACAGACGGACAGACAAATAGATAGATAGATTAGATAGATAGATTAGATAGATGGACAGGATAGATAGATAGATAGACAGACAGACAGATAGATCGATGGATGGATGGATGGATAAATAAATAAATAGATAGATTAGGGGTCATTACATTACATTAGATTAGATTAGATAGATAGATAGATAGATAGATAGACAGACAGATAGATAGATAGGTAGGTAGATAGATAGATTAGATTAGATTAGATTAGACCGATAGATAGATAGATAGATAGATAGGAGTAGCTTAGATTAGATCAGATCAGATTAGATTAGATCACATTAGATTGGATTAGACAGACAGACAGATAGACTACACTAGATTAGATTGGATTCGATGAAAAAGATAGATGAGTGATTAAGGCAGGTGGATAGAATAGATAAACATATCGCTAGGCTCATAGAGCGACAAATAAGCTGGGTTAGATACAGAGATCGCTACATAGCTACATAGACAGACGTAGATAGGTAGGTAGATAGCTACGTAGATACATGGATGAATGGATGGACAGATAGACAGACAGACAGACAGACAAACAGACAGACAGACAGACAGACAGACAGACACACAGACAGACACACACACAAATAGATAGACAGATACCTAGATAGGCAGATTCGTAGATAGCTGGATACCACCATCACAATCCCAACTGGTGCATGCGCCAGTTTTTGTCGGTGGACGCCCTGAATATTGCAAGAGTGGTTGCTCCGTACTTGCGATACTTGGGGTAGCTCCGTACTTGCGATACTTGGGGTACACCCCATCTTCGGATTCTTCGAATCGCGCCAAGTTGCGAGGGGTGTGCACGACTTCATCCATGTCCTGGCAGGCCAGCTGGCGATTAGGCGGCTAGAGATTCGCAATCCAAAATACTTCGAAGTGCCAATTCGAAGCACCAATGTGGCTGTCTACACTTGGCACACATCTGGGGTACAGGTACACCAACTATACGTTTCTCTGATTGTGTTTCATAGTTAGTCTACCTTTAAAAATAGAGGAGACCCGCAGAAACATCCCCGGCACCAGAATCACCGGCACCTGCATCAATTCAAAGGCCAAAGGCAGGAGTTCTTTGGAAGCCTTGGTTCCATTTACAGAGGCCAATGGGGGGAGCTTCCGGCTGTTCGCGCAAGGGAGTGGAACATAGGTGTTTAGAGGAAATAGATGGCCCTGGTAGATGATTAAACCACCAGGTAAACCAGGAATCGCCATCTATTTAGTCCACCAAAACAACCAAAAAGGACACCTAAGGAGTGGAAGTCTTGCCTACCGCCGTGGAATTCGTTTGCTTCGACGTGGGGGCGCGCCTCGCTCCAAGAGGGGGACTTGGACCCTGAGCGCGCCAGGCGCTTCGCCTTGGCCACCTCGGCGCTTCGAGACGCCTGGTGGCTTTGTTTCAGGGCACGCCGGCACGCCCCTTTTGGTGCTTTTAACTTGGTAGCTTTTGACCAACCCAATGGAAGTCAAGTTAAACTGAAACCAACTGGAATAACCACCTGTTTTTTTGAGGGGGAGGGCGCCCTTAAAAAGCCCTAACATCCCCAACCAAATGGGGTTTCCTTTCAGGAGCCTCAGCAACTTAACGTCAACTTGCAAAAGTTACATGGTGTTTTGCGGAATGACATTCGCCATTTTGGAACCCTGCCTTGTTGTTTCCTAAAAGCCAACGGAAAAGGCTACATACAGGCACACAGCAAGGGAACCAGGGCAACCGAATCTCCAACTTACTGTTTCATGCCATTGTGGCTTCTTATGGTTGGTGTCCTTGCAATGTTTAAGGCATCCACCGTACCAGGGGCTTTAGGAAATCCGTTGGCAAACACAGAACAACTAAGTCCCACTGATAGCGGTGTTTGCTGTGTGAATGTGTGCTCGACGCGCTGCTTGTGCGTGTGCGTGTGCGTGTGCGTCTGCGTGTGCGTGTGCGTGTGCAAATGCGTGTGCGTGTGCGCGTGCGCGCGGGAATGCGTGCGGTCGTGCGCGCGGTCGTGCGCGCTCTGCGGTGAGTGCGGTCCGGTGCGTGCGCGCGTGCGCGCGTGCGCGCGCGCGTGCTTGCGTGGGTGGGTGAGTGGGTGGGTGGGTGTGTGGGTGGGTGTGGGTGTGTGGGTGTGTGTGGCGTGCGGGCGGGCGGGCGGGCGGGCGGGCGGGGCGGGCCGGTGGGTGGGTGGGTGGATGTGCGGTTTGTTGCATGTTTTGTTTACGAAAATCATTGGTTTGGGTTTGGATGTGATCGACAAACCATTGGATGCCCACGATTGTGTTGTTTGCTTCTTGCAATCCATCGGATAAACCATAAGCACTACATACAAAAGGCCACCCCATGTTGGGTTGGCTTCAATACTTAAAAGCCATTGCTTCGTGGTCCGGTGCGACCTTCACAAGACTCCAATGTGATAGGAGCCCACCTGCTAGTCAAAACCCACATGGCTTGCAGATTCTCAGGAATCAACAGGCGATTCCCATACAGGAAGCCACAGGCGGGTTGGTCGTGAGCACCAGGTTTTAGACTGTTTACCACCCTCGAACCATTGAGTAATCAAAACCAAGCTCACATGTGGTCTGTTTGGCAAATAAGAACCATTGGGGTTCATCAAAGATTGGGTTTAGATGTCTAATGTCTATAGATAAATATTGGATTTGCTCCTTGTCAACCATTATGTTTGCTCCCGTGGCAGAAATGTAGGAGTCGCAATGTCCGAATTACCCTGACACGGACAACATCTGCTGCTACACTGCTACATGGGACATTTTTAATGTCCCTTGTTGTTCTGCCGACTTTGGTCCGAACTGACCATGGACAACTGGAAAGTTGGACCGAGCCTCATGTCACTCAAGTCGTGTTGGGATGTACATTCCTAGAGCATGTTTGAGGGGGTTCACCAAACGAGAAATCAATCACTACAAGTGTTTGGTGCCGGAAATTGAGCCAGAATAAAAACCGCCTTCTTCGCGCGTTGAACATGTCAAACCACTGGTTGTTCATGCAAAGCTTGTTGGAAAACCTTGCGAAGGTGGCTGGCAACTGATCACGAGGAGTGGGTGTGCAAGGGGCTCGAAGCCCACGTTTAAAGAATCAAACTGCCGACGTCTCGCTGCACCAATCGCCCAGAATTTCACCGTGGCCTACATTCGACACGGGTGGATGTGCTTTATTGAGCCCCCAGAAAGTTCATGTGTGTCGCATCCAAAAGGAACACATTTGCTGGAACCCATCTAGAATAGGTCATCCAACATGTGGCTGTGGCTCAAAAAACCGGTACCAAAATGGGTTGCCCTGGTAAGTGGAAACCTGGACCAAAACCTGCGGTTTGCCCCCCCGGTTTAATTTTGAGCCACACCAACATGTCGGCTCTTTCCTTCACTAGGAAAACTACGGAGTCTGATCCTTGTGAGGGTCGCCTTCTCTGGGTTCATGGATGAACTTGGTTCTGAATGAGCAGCCATAATGTACGTCGGCTATTCTATCTGGGTGTGGCTCAAAATTAAACAACTAGGCTTACGCAGGTTTTAGTCTTCGGTTCCATTTACCAAGGGGCCATTTTGGTACATGTGTTTGAGCCTCTCCCATATGTTGCTTTGCAAGTCATCATTTATTCTATGCAAACCTGCGCTCTAGCGTTCGTCCTCACTCAAACCATTTAGGTTCATTCCAGGACAGCCAGGAATTGGCTTGTCAGCGCTAGCAGCAGCCTCCTTAGGGTTTACGGCAAGTTCTGTGGTTTTTGGCCGGTGTCTGGTCTGAGGCTGCAAAGCAATGCAAAGCATTGCGAAGCTGCAAAGATGGCTACCCGAGTTCGCGGGTGGGAACCTAAGCACAATAATCCCCCACTTTGCTACATTGCTATACCACAGCATAATTTTGACGTCGAGCCACATCGAGAAAGCAAACCCCCGACTTGAATGGGGACTCTCAGGAACGTAGACTGAAAGTTGAAAGGAAGAGACCCACAGATGCCAAAGATCTAAATCCAGCATTCTATGTTGCAGTTGCCATTCCAGTCATCCAGCAGCACTTTCCAATAGCAAAGGATCATGGCTAGGGCAGCGAAAAGGAACCACCCAAGTACATCACGTACCAACCAGATCGCCAGACCCGCACACCCATGCTAATTACATACACTCCTTCCAGCAATCATGTGGACGTTTGGGGCCGCTAAACAGACAACGAAAATCCTCTTCCACACTCCTGTCAGGAACCATGTCAGAGCCCGGCTGAGAAGGGCACCGTGAGGGTGCTCGCGCGCTTGTGGCTGCGCTGCTTCTCACCCTCAGCTGCTGCGTCAAAAGGCTCTTGACGAAAATCGGCTTCGCCCCCTTCTGATGCCCTGGTGATACTGCGACGAAATCCATTTCGCACCACTTTGAAACCATGCGAAACCAGTGGTTGGTTGGTATTTACAGGGGGAATCATGAATCATGCCAGGGTTTCCTAGGCGGTTGCGAACTGGACTTCCTCCAACCCTATGTCGCCTTCGGGCGTTTCGGAGAAAGCCGCCTTTGAAATGGAACCGCGCGGAACCGTTCCGCGCGGAACCGGAAGCCATCGGAACTGAACCAACATGGAATGAATCCATTCTCCATGTGGCTATGAATTTTAATAAGGGACCTTTTGGTGGACATCATTTACATGGGGATTCATGTCCACCAATCACTTTTGAGGTGGTTCCCTATTAAAATTCTGGCCATGTGGCTGCATTTTGGGACTGGACCTCAAAATCCGGGGCTTCTCGTTTCACCTTTCCACCACTCGGAAATCGGACAATTCGAACTCTATGCGCACCTTGGGCCAAGTCAGAACCGTCTGTTCTAATTCTCCTTTGGGCCCGCGGTTTTGAGCTCCACAAGACTAAATGGCAGGTGAAAAAGGGAAGCCAAAAGAAAACAACCCCTTGTTGGGCGCGCTTTTTTGAAAACCACAATGCACCCCACTGATCCCATTAAATCAGCCCAATCGAGTCTACCCTTTGAAAATCCATTTTTTTTGCACCCCTTGGCCCCGAAACGATCGCCAAACCGTCGCGCTCCCGACGCCCGCCAGCCACGGCGCAACGGCCGGAACGGCCGGTACCGGCGGCGCCGGCGCGGGCGGCGCTTGCGACGCCGACGGCGCAGGTTTCTGCTCCTTGCCCTTGACGGTGCTCAGCAGCCACCGTGCGAAGTCACTCCGTGCCTGCCGACCACCGAGTTTCCGGAAACCTACGACCGAGTGGTCGTGGAGCTTGGTGAAAGTAGATGGCATTGCGAAAACAGGTAAACTTGGAGTGTCACCGCTGGCCCCCCTTCTTCCCCACAAGGGAGTTGCGCCGTCCAGTTTCCTGGGGTACCGGAGTTGTTCAACATTTCCTCGGGGGTTGTTGCTCGAGTAGTTGGGTTGCAGCTCCCGTTGCGTAGGTCCAAGTCTACAGCTGTCTAAAGGTCCGAGAAAAACATGTCTTTCCCCTGTTCCAAGCCAGTCTTGCCGATCAGAGAAGATCTATCAGCAACCTTGGCTGTGGAGGCCAATGAACCCACGTGCCCCTTTCCCTACAAAAGGGGGGCACAATTGGGCGATTTCCCCTCAAATTCCCCCAGCTGAACACCCTGCGAAATTCCAACTGTTCATGGAATCTGCAGTCGAGATCTCCCCAACCGCGATCAACCAAGGGGGTGGGGATCTTGCAGCAAGAGCTCTATCTGGGGCCGTTTGGTTGGGCCAGCCTGCTTGGTGAAACATTTGGAAAGCAACTCTCCCCAAACCAAACACATTTTGCTCTGATCCATCCCCCCCCCCCAGTTATTGAGGGGGCTCCATGTTGGTACAAGTAACATGCCTTTCATGCATGTTTGACTATAGTTATTCTTTGAATACTATACAGATATCGCGGTTGCTTGAAAGCAGACACAAGAAGCCACCGTGTTGAATAGTAGAAGTAGCTGGATAGTCCTGGGCAAGCTTCGAAGGCTGCTAGACATTAGCTACTACTAGCACGGGTGTGTGCCAAAAACAGGAACAACACTAGGAAAACTTCATTAGGTACAATTATCTTTATCAGGTACGCTTCACATAAAGTAGGTCACTATATAGCAGACATGCACTAGATCAATGCTAAGAATATGATGTTGGACAAATGACATACACACATAATAGCCACAGAACAACTGCATTCTAGGAACTCTAATAGGCTTGTATTCTGGTATTTACTAGAAAATGTGATTGGGATTGATAAATATTCTATAGGAATGTTAGGCATTGCTGGGAACCGGTTGCAATATGCTAGGGGAATGCTAAATATGTGTAGAATTGTAGCAGACATGTGCTAGGTCTATGCTAGGAATATGTCACATATATATATATATATGTATATATATGATACATACAGCAGGCATATGCCACATGCATTCTAGGAATTCTAGTGAGTCTATAGTAGGCATTATTCGATGGATATCAAGAGAACACATCAAACAGTGCTACACACATCACGAACTTCATGAAAACCCGTTCCAAATGATACCTCTGTGGATCAACCAAACCTATACATCTCCTTTTATCGGTTTGATCTTACATTCAAACATTTATGTGGCAAGAGAACAAGGCCGAAACATGCAAAAACGCCAATGGATCAAACATCCAAAACCTCCGTGTTATTGGACTACGGCCGAAAAAGATCCCCCTGATTTTGCACTGGGAACGGTTCGTTCATCAGGTGCTCCTTAGGCCCTGGGACCTCTCCAGAAACCGAGAAAAAGAAAAAAAAGATCCGCGAGCTGTCCGTCTGCAAGCTGTGGCTTCCGCATAGATTCTTTGGTCTTCTCGAGAATTTGGGTGGTTTGGGCTGACATTCCCAAAAACCTCGAGAGAAAAACAGAACCAAAGCAAACAAGATTGCAAACGCATTGTTTGGGGGGTCTCCAATATCTTTGCTTTTGAGCTTCCTTTTTTGTTTACTGGATAAACCAACTTGTTTATGTTCCTCATTAGCTGAGGGTGGCGGGTCCCTGTTTTCTTCGCCGGGTTTTTCCAGGATTTTGCCAGGAACATTGGCATCCAACCTAACCCAACGGACGCCCCTGATCAGAGCCCCCCTTGCGCGGGGAGGGAAGTTCATGGCTCGGATATTTGATCAACTTGGCCTCACAAAGACTAGAAGACTCAGAAGTGGGGACACCTGGTCACAATTCTCCGAAAAGTGGAACAAGTTGGTCGCTCTCAGTCTGCTTTGTCCTTTTCTACTACTATTATGACCTTCAACAAATGGAGCCCCCACGGCATCCCCGTCTGGAAACTTCAGGGGATCGGGCCCCTGGACACACATTTTACAGGCTGCACATGCTACGATATGTCCAAACCCCTGAACCAAGGAATCCCCAACTAAACTTGACCTTTATCACTGGGCCAGACTGAAACTCCCGCAAAAAAAAAAAGAACATGGCGATTTGTTGGCTGGTTGAAAGGCACCGTCTCCGAAAACAAGACAACACACGCAAGCAAAGTCAAACTCCGTCGCTCGTTTTGCCCATATCGCCTCCTCGGTCTCCGGCAACGCCCTTAGGTCCTGAAGCTGTCCGACCAAAACTCGAGGTTTGGGAGGCTGCGAAGGTTTGTACGTGACAAACGCGGGGACCTCAAAAGTGGGGAGTTCAACGATCGAAACACAAAAAAACGTCAATGAACTCGACACAAAGCTCAAAAACCCCCCTCCAAACGCTGAAAAAAACAAAAAGTCACCTGGGAAGTGGATCCAGGGCTCCTCCAGCAGCTTGAGGATGTCTTGCACCTCCAGCTCGCCCTCGTCCTGAGCGTCGCACCTCAGAAAGCTTTTTCGCAAGCCCGGCCAAGGCCGGAGCTGCCGAGAGGTTCTCTCGGAGGGAACCCTCAAAAGTATATGGCTGTGGGTCAAAACCAATGGTACCATTTTGGGGTAGGTGCACCACCCTTATTAGTCTATTTTCGCGGGGATTTGGGATGTTCACTGGGGGCACGAGATTTTGACCCATGGCCACATATTCCCAAGTGGGTCAAGTGGGTCAAGTGGCTACATGGCAGCAAGCCTTGAGCACAATGCTTCCCGTGCTTGCCATCTATCACAGGCTCTAACATATCCAAGACAGCAATACCCACAGCCGCTGAATTGCTCGGCATGTCCACGGATCGAGATCGGCTTTTAAGGGACCCTGTGAGTAACCCTAAAAACGGGGGATAGTGCACCGAGTGCCACCATTTTCCAGTGCATGGACTCTAGAATAGGCAATCCCATCTCCAAGAACCCGTCAGTACGGGTCCAGGTCAACTCAGTTGCTTTCTGCTCCCCTGCTAAAAGTTTCTAACTTTTAGTGGTTTTCATGGGAAAACCCATTAGTTGGCAAAAACCTAAATTCCTAACGCCCAAGCAAAATTCACCAAAGGTTCAATGTCCTGAATGGTTGGACCCTTTTGGACACCATTTCCACGCTTGGAAATATATTTACACCATCATGTTTGAGGCTGTGCCAACCAACGTAAAGAAAACCGCCTTCTCCGCAAAAAAAATCCCGGGTCCCGGGCTGCGTGAAGTGGGCGAAGTGCAGCTTCTGCCGCGCGACCCTCAGCCTCTTCCTGGGTGGATGAGGAGGGGGTGGGGGTGGGGGGGGCTGAAGATGAGACCTGGCCTTTGGGTCTCCGGTGAGCAGGGTCAGTGGCCCTCAGCCTGAATCCGCTCGCTTGGTCCCGAAACAGCCCAGAACTGTCTCTGCCTTGCTTCTGTTGTCTGCTGGCTTTGGTCCACAAGTCTCCATCTTGGTGAAATCAAGAGTCCACGGACTTGGGGCATTTAATCCTCCCAGGTATTGACCCAGGTATCGACCAGCGGCTCCCCTTGGAAGAAGGGAAGCCCTACACAAAATGCAACCCCCTTCACGGGTGCATATTGTATTGGGTCCACTAAAGTAACATCCTCAAACTTACCCTCTACATGGTAATTGAATCCGAGCATATTACTTTGAGAACCCTCTACATGTTCAACATTGCGGGACCCTTGAACTTCCAAATCAACGAATTCAAGCGATCTATTGCCGGGACTGAGTTTCACTGGCTTTGAAGGACCAACAGGGGTCCAATATGGGTGGGTCTCTTCTTAGACGCACCCTTTCAGACTTCCGTGTCTGTCTCCTTCTTCACGCAGCCCGTCCGGTGTTGTCTTCCCCTACTCTTTTCCCAAGCCCGGGTCCCTTCGAAGCGAAGCGCCTGATGCGCTGCAGGAGCTCCGGCAGCTGCTCCTTCACCAAGCCCACGGACCGCGCCAACTCCTCCTGGCGCTGCTGGACCTCGGCGCAACCGAGAAACCCGCCGCCGGAGAACAAACCGAAGGCCCACGAAAGACGGACCTGAAACAAGCCTGAATGGGATATTGAACCAGAAAAACGGGCAATTCTGCTCATGGTTTTTGGGGGTCTGAAGGCTCAGGCCACTTTTGCTGATGTGGGAGTGCTCTGGGGGCACACCGGTGAATTGATGCCTGCACTCGGGGCGTGCATATGGGAATGAAGTTTCAGTTCGACCCTTTGGTGGACACCCATTCAATGGTTGGAGAGCATTCCAACCATACAGTGGAAAAACACAAAACCATCTACCTGACATGTGCCGCAAGAGTGGAACCTATGTCTGGACGTGACTGTCCCCCAAACTAACCTTCATTCCCCAAATCAGCTAAAGCTATATAGCCCTCTCTTGGAGTGGCCCCAAGGACCTGGAAGGCTAGAAAACTCGTCTTCGAAAAACCGACACCTAACGAACCTTTGACCAAGTCTCGGGTTTCGACTGCGGGCTCCGAGCTGTCACAGTGGAAGCATCCAGTTGCCCATCCCTTTAGTGTGTGAAAAGTTTGGATTTCATTCTTGCTGGTCAGCAGGGAATCAACCGAGGTTTTTGGAATGAATGGGCGCTCCCCCTTTCAGAAACCAACAGGGGGGATGGGCGCTGACTCCCGGAATCTGAAAACCGGAAAGTCCCAGCAACTTTCCCACATCCCCTTTGCATCCCCAGGGCCAACTTGGCTTGGGATGTGGTTTTCCATGAAAGGAATGAGAAACTAGCAAGTAGCTCGATTCTACAAGGGCCAAAAGCAAAGAGGTTCAAGAAAACAGTTTTGGCTGACAACCCTCCGGACCCTGTGGGTGAGGGATCAGCACCTATTCCTGAGGATCACAAAAAAATTGGGGATCGAAAACGCCTTCATCTCATAGATTTATATAGCATTGAAAATGAAAAGTCCGAGGATCAAAAAACTTCTTAGGGCTCCAACAAATGATTTCGTGGCATTCGCGAGGTCAGGTACATATTTCGTGGCAGGCGCAGCACTTTCGCAAGGAAAGAGTACATTTGCATGAGGCTTCACTCCCTAGTGTTGGCCGTGACCAAATGCGATGGAATGAAATCGGGACGGTCACGCAGTAACTCAAGAGCCCGACAAGCCTATATTTGTGCCAAAGGCACAAGCAAACACCAGTAAAGCCCTAAATGCAATAATCAGGTCCTCGGGCGCCCGAAGCTAGCCATTCACATTTCCTTTCTGCTCCTTCCTGCTCCTGCGCACTGGCATTTTGCACTGCAACGGCAGAAGGAATGTACGATTCCCGCAGCAAGACATGGTCTGTCTAGCTCGGAGACGCGCAATGGGTAGTCTTGGGAAAGGGAGGGCGGTGGGAGTCCATCAACACGCTCACACTGAGCACGTGCGTGTCTGAGTCAGTGCAAGATTGGCGAGCGGGTCAGTGAGTCAGGAGCTCAAGGGGAAGGGTCCCGACTTCACGACTTCACATTGGCACGCAGCCGCCTGTGTAACCAAAGCTTGACGCTGCTTTGTTGTACGGAGTGTGGGCCTGATCAGCATTCCAAGGAGCCTGCCGTGAACAAGACTCAGATTTGAGCCGGTCGCAGTGCGTCGAGTGGCGAAAACTCACACGCGAGCCTTCCTAGCCTACAACAAGCACACATGCAAAGGACCACTACTGCTGAACCCCTGTCGTCATGAGAGCGCGGCCTTCGTGGTCGGTCGCGCACACGCGTATATGGCCCTTGCGCAAGGAAGCAATTTCCAAAGTCCTTCTTTCCGTCTCCTCCTGCTCAGCCCAGTGCTCCAGGTTGCACACCTCCACACAGGGGTTGCGGGCGTTGTTCCCGAATCACAGTTTGTGGGCTTCGCCATTCCTCGCTGCCTTGGAGCCCTCTCCTACCTTTCCAAGATGCTCCCATCTGACCGTGATGCCCGTGGAAAACCACTCGCAACCAACCTCACCTGGGAGTGGCCAGGATTCAAGAAGTAGCGAAAGATGTGGCAGGGATAAGCAAACAGCGTGTCCTCGACCCAGGTGGAGGATCGAACTTGCTTCAGGCTGAGCGACCTAGAGACGATGTAGGGCGACACCCGGCATAAAGGAGGCCTGCTTGGTTACCGACAGCATGGTTCGTGGTCGCCAACCATGTCAGGGAAGGCGGATACCTGCACCGCTTTTTTTACTTCGCTGTGTAGGTGACCATGTCGTTCCTCACACCCTCTTGGAAGTTCGACCCCGACAGCGGAAGCGGTTCCGGCTGGCCCGAGCTGCTCGTCTCCTCCGCAATGTCGGTGATCACCAAGCAATCGGCTTCCATCGCGCCTTCCCAACCATCCTCGCTGTGGCTGTCGGCCGAACCCGATCGAGGTGCAGCCAACGAATCCAAGCAATGTATGTAAATGCCGCATTCCCGATGACCGCCGCCATGAGTCGAACCATGCTGGTCTTGCCACCACCGCTCTCTGAGACGAAGAGGTGCAACCCGGCAGTGTCCGTGATGCGGAAGGCGCCCTTGCAGGGGCCCTTGCAGATCACCCGTCGCACTCGCATTTCGATGTCACACAAGACAAATAATATGCGGGTTTCGTCGGTAAAATGCCTCCCTTCTCCCTCAACTTCAAGGTTCCCCTCCGATCGCGGATCAAGAGGCACCGCTATCTGACTCCTCCCAACAACCAGATTGCGGTGCTTGCGGAGAGGCTTGTGTCCGTAATCATGGCACACCTCCGACTTGAGGTATAGAGAATGGGAAAGTGTGACGCCGGTTCCGGGGTCCTGTTTTCCGCGTGTCTTCCTGTCTCCCAGTCTCTCCGATCAGATGCCAGATGCTGTGACGCTGGCTCCAGGGTCGTTTCCCCGCTTCTATCCCTGTGTCTCCCACTCTCTGTGGTCAGATGCAAGATGCTGCGACGCCCTCCGGAATTGTCTCCCGTCTCCCAGTCTCTGCGGTCAGATGCCAGATGCAGTGACGCTGGCTCCAGGGTCATGTCTCCCGCTTGTCTCCTTGTCTGGCTGTGACGCTGGCTCTGGGCTGGTGTCTTTCGCTTGTCTTTCCCAGTCTCTGCAGTCAGATGCCAGATGCTGTGACGCCGGCCTCCCGCTTGTCTCCTTGTCTGGGGCTCTGGGCTGGTGTCTTTCGCTTGTCTTTCCCAGTCTCTGCGGTCGGATGCCAGATGCAGTGACCTCCAGTCTCTGCGGTCAGATGGCAGATGCTGTGACGCTGGCTCCGGGGTCGTGTCTCCCGCTTGTTTTGTGGTCGGATGCCAGATGCTGTGACGCTGGCTTGTCTCCCTGTGTCTCCCAGTCGCTGGCTCCGGGGTCTCCCAGTCTCTGTGGTCGGATGCCAGATTCTGTGACGCCATCCCGCTTGTCTTTCTGTGTCTCCCAGTCTCTGCGGTCAGATGCCAGACGCTGTGACGCTGGCTCCTGGGTCGTGTCTCCCGCTTGTCTCCCAGTCTCTGCGGTCGATGCGCTTGCTTGGCATCCGGTAACCGGCGTTCGGCTCCCTTCGGCTCTCTTCGGCTCACGTGGCAGCAGCTCGCAAGAGCAATTGAGGAGCGTCAAGCTAGAAACATAGCTTCGACAAGTCAGCAGGAACCACTTGCAACAATGTTTCGCAACGGGGAAAGGGCATGTCGCAGATTTTGCTGTTAGCCTGTGTGCAAAGCATCCTTGTGGAGCATCGTTGGAGCTAGAAGCAAGTAATGTCGAGCCTTAAATATGTCTTTTTTCTCGACAAACATCTCGTTGTGCCTCCGGCTGATTGCTTTGCTCAGGAAATTGAGCTTCTTTTTAGAAGCCAGTGCCGCACTTCTTGGTCAAGGGCATGATTGAATCTTTGTGGCGCACCAGCAGGCCCCCGAGCCTTAAATATGTTTCTCGATAAAAAACAAATATATCGTGACATGTGGCTGATTGCTTTGCTCGGGACACTGAGCTGCTTTTTGGAAGCCAGTGCCGCACTTCTTGGCCAAGTCCAGGTTTGCATCCTTGTGGCGCATCAGCTGAGCTCTGTCGAGCCTTAAATGTGTCCATTTTCTCGAACAACCAAAAAAACTGTCACATCCGCATGATTGCTTTGCTCAGGATTCTGAGCTGGCTTTTTGGAAGCCGGTGCCGCACTTCTTGGTCAAGTGCAGGTTTGCATCCTTGCGCCGCATCAGCTGAGCCCTGTCAAGCCTTAAATGTGTCTGTTGTTCTCGATAAACAAATACCGTGACATCCGGCTGATACTGAGCTGCTTTGTGGAAGCCAGCGCCGCACTTCTTGGTCAAGCGCAGGTTTGCATCCTTGTGGCGCATCTGTCGAGCCTTACATGTGTCCAATTTTGTTCTCGATAAACAAATATACCGCATCCGCCTGATTGCTTTGCTCAAGATTCTGAGCTGCTTTTTGGAAGCCAGCGCATCCTTGTGGCGCATCAGCAGAGCCCAGCCAAGTGGCCTTAACTGACTGGTGTGCATCCTTGTGGCAGCCAAGTGGCCTTAACTGACTGGTTTGCATCCTTGTGGCGCATCAGCAGAGCCCAGCCAAGTTGCCATAACTGACTGGTTTCATCTTTGTGGTGCATCAGCAGAGCATCCTTGTGGCGCATCAGCGAGCCCAGCCAAGTGGCCTTAACTGACTGAGAGCCGCCATTCCGTAATGTTGCTGGGGAGTTGCTCGCAAAAGTGCCAACAGGAAAACATGTCAAGAAACCGCTTCTTACGCCTTGTCCCCGCCAGAAGTCGGGTCAGTTAAGCCCGCTTGGCTGGGCTCTGATGCGCCACAAGGATGCAAGTTACGGAAACTTGGCTGGGCTCTGCTGATGCACCACAAAGATGCAAACCAGTCAGTTATGGCAACTTGGCTGGGCTCTGCTGACGCGCCACAAGGATGCAAACAGGTGCTCAATGTGGTGATTGCAACAAGGACACACGGTCATGGCCATGTTTCAACACATGTTCGGTTGCTGTATAATCTAATAAGAGTTGCTAACGCCGCCGCCGTGGCTCTTTTTCGCAGAGGGGCTTCCTCGCGTGGTGGTTTGCTGGTTACTTGCTCTTTGGAGATCTGGTCCTATCGCAGAGAGGGACGCGCGAACACACAGTCAAGCAGGCGTGCTTATCATCTTGTTGCATCGTAAGACGGGGTCCGAGCTCCAAGGTTTTTTCTGACCGGGTTCCAGAAAGAATTGTCCTGGAAGTAAAGCCTGGGTGAGTCGGGTCCCCATCCAAACCATTGCTCGTAAGAGTTGTTCGCATCGTCCCTGCGCTTGTCAAGTTCTCCTCGAAAAACTTGGTTGATGCATAGGAGTTTTTTCCTGGCAACCTACTTCGCTGACCTTGCCAACTTGGAAACAGTTCACAAACCCGGCCAGTTGATTACAGTGCTGCTGGAGCTGAGCGTTGCCAGCGGCGTGCATTGGAATGACGACCGCCGGTTGTTCACCACACATGTGAACACCAATCTGCGAACCATAAGCACCAACTCCAAGATGAACCCGGCCAAGCTGGCGGTGTCCACTGTGCAGCCAGCATTGGTTATGCAGGGCCTTCATCTCTGTCACCGCATGCTCCCAAGATGGCCAATGCGTGGCTTTGCTCCATGCGCCCAACGCCGCTCCTTTCCGGAACAAGCGTGGCTTTGAATGTCAGCTCCAGCCCTGCTCCATCGCGGAAACGTGTGAGAACTTTGCCCCAACTTAAGCTACTGCCGGCTCAACACTGAGGATTTCTGGAGCTGTGCCGGATGACAGAGGTGCGCGCCAAACGGGCACCTTTGCTGACGCTTGCCAATTTGGCGCCGTGTGTCTGCGTTGCTAGGCGAGGATGTCCCGGCCGTAACGCTACAAGGCGCAGTCTGCAAGTCTATGCAAGTGCTCTCTTGCTTTGCTTGTGGCAAGACCTTTAGCCGAGCTCGAGAGAAGAAGATAGCAACCAGAAGTGGCATGTGTCCAGTCTCGGCCGCAAGCTGCTGATACTGATGCGCAAGTTTCAGCAGAGTAGCGACACGGCCACCAAATGCTTCAGTGATGGAAAAGTGCACTGAGTGTCCGCGCTATGAAAGTTCCTTCGAAACTTCCTTTCATTAATGCCAGGTGTTAGGTTGATTCACCCCGAATCCCCGGGGCCTTCACTCTCGAACATGGCATTGACATGGCATATTCCCCCTCGAAGTTGAACAACATCGATGCTTTTACCCGGTGTGAAGGAGATGGATGGACCCGATGTGTCCTCTTACATGGACAGATTGTAACTATGTGTTGCTCACATAAGCTACTCAATTTCGCACCTGACATGAAGGAGACAAGCCTTTTTGGGTTATACAGACCTGTCATGTTTTTTGCTGTTTGGGGTCGAGGCTGGTGTAATTTCTGGTTTTTGGATGGTTTCAGAGGGAAACCAAAAGGGTTTACCAACCATTTAGCTTGGGGTTCGATTCCTATTGTGAGACACACCCATTGTGAGACACACCCATTGTCCACCAACCACTTTTGATCAGCTTCTTTCCAATTGGTGGTTCGGTTGGGGGTGGGACCCCCATGTGCCTTCTACAACCAGAGTTAAAATCCAAATCCAAACCAGCAATTCAAATCACGATGAGGGGGTTACCTGATTTGAGGTTCCACTTTTTTCTGGATGGTGCAAGGGGTTTCCCACAGGCAACCAACGGAAGGAATTGCTCCATGGCTTTTCTGGAAACCATAGAGATTTCCAAATCACCCATCCAAATCACCAACTTAGGGTGCCTGACAATTACCACCACCATGGCATGGGGTTCCCCGATTTTCAGGCTTCATACCATTTTTGGGGTTCACCCCCGAAAAAATGCCCTCTACTCCAAGAACCTTATAAAAATAAAGGATGCAAACGAAAAACCTGGTTTTCAACTGTTGCTTACCGAAAACAGGGTTTTCCACATACAAAAACCATACAAAACCCGTACAAAACCCATACAAAACCTGTACGTTTGTATGCTTTTCATAAAACCGGGTTTTCCCGCAAAGAACCCGATTATTGTCGAGAACCTTTAAAATCAAAGGTTCTTGGAGTAGAGGGTGATGGGTTCATGCCTTTTATTGGTTCATACCACTTACATGGGGTTCTACTCAATTTTTTCAGGCGTCATGCCCCCCATTTCGTTCGTTCGCTTCGCCCGGTGCTTCAGCCCGGCGGCCAGGGCGGGGTTCCCCAAGGCCTCCGTGAGCTCCTTCTCCTCGTCCGTCTCCCCGTCCTCCACCTGGAACCGATCCACCGGCCGCGACGGCGACGGCGGAGAACGTGGCGCTCGGCGGAGAACGTGGGGCGTCGGAAGTCCCCACATCCCTCTACCTCCATTTGCCTTTTTGTCCCCTGAGAAAAATGAGAACATATGTTCAGTAGTGAAATCGATTCCCTTTAAAACTAGGGGAAAATCTTCTTCACCAAATGGAGGTATAGAACCTAAGGTATGGTTCCGAGCGGTTCTGAAAATTTCCCAAACGGTAAATATGGGTTATATAGGTATGGTCTTCCTTTTGGTTGGTGTGACTGACCAAAGAAACCCCATTTTACCCAAATGGGTGTGTTGCTTTGAGTTGCTAGCCCTGGTTGGGAACCAAGAAAAAGCCACCTTTGTTTTGGTGGGGGATCTCCAATTTTAACACACACACACACACATACACACAAAAAATACCCCCCCAAAAAAAAAAGAAGGGCGGTTGTAAATGGGTACATAGGGTTGCACAAGGGCCATCCAGCGTGCATACCCCAATAATATATATATATATATATATATGTACAAAACCACTGGGAGAAACTCACTGAGTGGCCCTATGGACACTGATGGAACCACAAACAAAGATGGGTTCTCAAAAGGAATGGGATCCTCGAAATTGGGTGTCCCTTTAATTCCCCACCCAAAGAAGGGCACCGTAACTCTGGTCAGCCAAAAACGGGATAGTCACCATAGTCTTCCAGGACCCTTCTGCGAGGTTCCATGTTTGTGAATGGGAAGGTACGAGTACCCTCAAGTAAAAAAAGAACTGGACTTCTGACCAGAGGGGAGTGTGGCTCATTTCTGGAGGGTCGGGAAGATTTGGTCAGGGTCCATTCTTCCAAAAAAAGCATGGGCTGCCAATACCAGGATCAGACCAAAAATCGAATGTAAGGGGAGAGGTTTCGGATCCTCACCCTCATGGTCTGTCTCCAAACCCTGGCTCCAGCAATTTCAGGTTTTGGGCGCGTGAAAAGCAGTCTGAGACTTCTAGCCAAACTATAGAGCCAATCGGAGGAAGTTTTTGTTGGGGAACAAGAGCAGCGCTCGTGTACAACAGCTGTTGACTTTGAGCTCTCAAATGGTTAGGGCCTATATCAGCTTTAAAAACAAGCCTATGAACTAGGTAGCTTAGAACCACCTACTAAAACGCCCAACAGTGGTTTTAGGCGCTGCTCAAATGGAGATAAGAAAGCTGCGATCGGCTTTGTGGAGTATCACCTCACGAGCCTATTCACGAATGGTTCGCTTGTTAAGCGTGAGTGTTGGCCCAGGGCATTACAAAACAGTTGTAGCTTGAGGTTCAAATGGACAGCACGTGGGCTCTGGAGGCTTTAGCTTGCTTCACATGTCATGACAATCAGCGTAGCATCGACTCGAGCCTATTCGTCAGGACCATGCTTCAGCCGAAGAACTTTTGAGGGTGGGCAACAAGCAAGCCCGCCTCGGGCAGCAACAGCTTCTCGAAAATCCGTTGGTTTGGGGGGCATGATTTGCATGTTGCGACCATTTCGTATTTGTCGTGTCTTTCGCTACAAAGCAGCGCAGCACCTGGGGAATTTCTACGGTTTTGAGCGGCATGCCTGAAAAGGGGCGTGCCATGCAGACCAATGGCTCTGCGGTTCAAAGCCGTGCGATTTGACCAGCTCAGCTCGACCCACAAAATTATAACAAGCGAAAAGCCAGCCCGCCCTTTTCGAAGTGGTGCTTGAAGGGACAGGGTACTTAGTAAGTGGTTAGCAACCATGGCTGAAACCAGTTGAATCTTCATGGGTTATGAGTCTCGGTTTGCTAAGTTCCCCGCCTCTTTCAGCAAGCAGTCTGCTTTTGCCTCTCAGAGCTACAATGAGGCTCAAGGTAAGCCTTTGCAATCATGCGGGCGCCGCCACATGTCAACGGGTTGCGGGATCCCGTTGCTCACAGTACAAGTAGCCATCCTCCCTGTTTGCCACAGTCCCTCGGTCAGAGTAATTGTGTTTCTTTCCGCTCGTCCAGCCATGCACCATGGGGCAAAGTCCATTTCTTTGATCCATTATGCAAGCCTGGTCCAGACGAAAGGATTCGGGGACAAACAGGGCGGCCACTAAGTCGAAAGTCAAATCTCCGACTGCGCCCCGGCAAGACCATATATGCGCACAACTCCGCGGTGCGCAAAGTCCTGCATGAAGCTCCATGGAAGATACCTCTCTGAAGCCAGTGTACAAACGCTTTCTCCCAAAGCGCAGCCTCAAGTCTGTTGGTCTCATCGGTTTCATGTGCGTTTGGCCTCTTTAGAACATTGGTTTAAGTTAACGCAGACCATTTGAACGAGGGGCCAACGAAGCTTCAAGCTGAGCTCTGGAAGAAACGAAGGAAGGCCCAGCTTGCCAGACTTCAAACAGACACTTCGTTGCTTAGGTTGCGCAAGTGGCATATGCAACTCAAAGACGCTGCATGCAAATTACACCCCTTTCTTGTCTGGAAGAAATTAATTGGAGGTTCTCACTTGAAATTTCACGCAGAGTCTGGATCTGAAGATAGTGCCAAATGCAGATTCTAATTTTTCAGACTTCTCAGACTTCTCAGACTTCTCAGACTTCTCAGACTTCTCAGTCTGCAACTGTTGCAAAGGGAAACGTGTTGCCCAAAAAGGTTTAGCAGGGGCGGGACAAGGGGCGCCTAAAGCAACTTCACTAAGCCTCCTGAACATGACGCCCGTTTTGCTTTGTGCGACGCATGCCTCCAAGATCAGCAAGCTCATTTTAAAACTACTTCGCTTCGAGCAATCCCCACCCTCCACACTCACGAGCTTACGACCGTTTCCTCAAATTCCCCCTGGCGAGCCGCTTTGGCTTGATACTGGCCGGATACTCAGCAGGATCCACCGGCATGGGATTCTCAGCGGGATACTCAGCGGGATCCACTGAGCTACTTGCGGAATACTCGGCGGGATCCACTGGCGAGCTACTTTGGGATACTCAGCCGGATACTTGGCTGGGCGGGATACTCGGCGGGATCCACTGGCGAGCAGCTCTGGCGGGATACTGGGCGGGATCCACTGGCGAGCAGTTCTGGCGGGATTCTCGGCGGGATCCACTGGCGAGCTGCTCATACTTGGCGGGATCTGCTGGCGGTGCTGCTTTGGCGGGATACTGGGTGGGGGCGTGGTGTGGAAGCATCGCAAACGCGGATTCCAACATAAAATCCAACAACCCCTTCCTGTCGGGTGGGGAAAAATAGATCGAATCACATTTGGGGCACTTCTTTGAAGAAGAAAACACTCAGATGCCGAAGCTTTCATTTTGGTGACGAAGCACGATGTAAGGGGTTCAATCCTAAACACAATCGCAGGGGAGATCGATCCATCATTCAAAGCTCGCCAGAATTAGCGGACTTAGCTTTTGCTTTACATTGTCTCTTGCTGCAAACCCAGGTCCCGCGAAGCACGCGGGCCACGCAGCCTAAGCTGATGCAATGGGCTTTTGGCAGGACTCTGCGCTGGAAGCCCAACATGGGTGGGCCATCCACACAGCGCGCGGCCGGCCTCGAGAGGGGCCATCGGTCGCTTACGCGATGCCCAGCAGTGTTCGCTGGGAACCAGACCCCCAAGGATGCCTGCTTTTCCAGGCATCTCAGAGGCCTTTCGGCTTGTCCCAAATGGACGAATGCCAGGAAACCCATCTAAGAACTGATGGACCTGGAAAAGAAAAAGCAACCGAAAACCACGAGTTCAATCAATCCCACCACAAGGTCTGGAGTCCCCTTGTATCGACACATATGGATCTTTTTGGGGGTCCCTCACAGTTCCAGGAGGGCCGTCAGCGCCTCGTCATCGACCCTCAGCCTGGCGGAATCTGCGTCGAAGCAACCAACTGGGTTCACCTGCTTCACCTTCAAGCGAAAGGTGCCACAGCCAATTTCCGGAAGTTGGGGAGCTTGATGAACCAAAATGGGCTGTCGAGCAATGCGTTGTACAGCACTGCATTGTCTCGACTTTCACTGTCACCAGAAATCATGAGGGCTGATCGCTGGTTTTTGTTCGATTCTATTCACCCATCCTTCTTTTCAGAAACCCCCTCCCCCTCCCAGCTTTCCGGTGCTATGATCAATGGGGCCCGAGCTCCCCTCCCCCAATAGCCCTTTTGCTTTGCTCCTGAAGACTACGGTACGGGCTGTCCGTTTAAGGCTACCTTGTTTCAAACGAAGTCACCCTCAAGGCACACGCGGGTGAGGGCGCCAAGGATAGGTCTCTTGAATTTACACGTGGGTTTCTCTTTTTTGGAGTTGGTACTCCCCCCCCCCGTTCGTTCGGAGTTGGAAGTGCAACCACCAGTTTGGGGAATCCCCCCCAAAAACATAATAAACAACAGCACACAACACCCAAGAAAACCTTCACTGGAATCAACCCCTTTCTCCCATGTCAATGTTCAGAACCGCCACTAAATGAGACAGTTGGCATGAATGTCTCCAGTTTGCCTCTGAGCTGCTTAGTTTGCCAATGAGCGCTGGTTTCCTAGTCGTTCAATTGGCCTGTTTCTTGATGAACTAGCTGCCTCCAACCCTCGTTCGAGGTTGAACACACCAGAGTTGTCCGAAAGGTTCGTGCATGGAGATGCGAAGGGGACCCCGCGTAAGGCGCACAGCGTTGGGACGTGGGACACCTGGTACATGGTTCCCATGATGTTTTTCCATTATGTGTGGCGCATCCGCGAAAGCTCCGCGTTGAGCGCGCGGCCTTTCGGCCAGTTTACTGCCGCAGTCTGCAACCTTCTAGCTGGAGCTGCCGAAGTGCCCTTCGCGTGCTACACGTCGTGCTATCGCTTTGCCAGTGTAAGCTTCAGGGAGGCCGCTCGCAACCACTCCCCCGTGCTCCCACACGCCTCGGGCGGCATCGAGCAGGCCCAGGAGAATCAAACGCGTGTAGGGGCTTCGGCCTGCGAGCTCTTGCAGCGTCTGGCGATGCACGGAGTCCTCGCGAAAAAGGGAAGCAGCGGAACAAAAGGAAAAAGAAGAAGAAGAAAACACGTAACCGGTACCCTGAGAGCCCTTCAAGCTTCTCAAGTGGCTTGGACTTCCACTCCGGTTGTCCATCCCTCTTGAACAAGTGATAAGGACAAGCCCGCGTTGGGTTTGGCACTGACTCAGTTTCTTCGTGAACAAATTTTGCTGGCACGCCCGTAGCCTGGGCGCAGTCATGCTTGGGTGGCGTTTACTTTTGTGATACCTTGCAAGAACCTCCTGTTGAAACAAATCAGTTGCTCACTTCACAAGGACTTTCAGCTTTGGACGCCCATTTCAGCGGTGACCAGTCCGGTGACTTTGCTCGCAAATTGAGATATTGAGGCTTTATTTGTGTCGCGTTTGCGAGGATTTTCCCAGGGTGAAAAGTTGGGTTCCGAATAGGGGCTGAATAACTCGTAATGTTGCTCACCCATTGGAACTTGATTTGGCGTAAAATGACTCCCCCAATCAACAAAACCAATTTGGAATGGAAGCTCTCCAGCCTTCATCTTGCAGATTTGCTTCTGGTTGCACGTCGCGGCGTGTGGCAAAACCCAAGGCGAGAAAAGAAACCATTGACAAGATGAAACAGCGCATCGTGTGAGCCTTCCTGGAATTGGTGAGACCTCTGTGTAGGCGGATTGAAATTAAGTTGCGGAAGTCCTGGACATCAATATTCTCCATCACCTCGAGAAGCATTTGCTTGACCTTGTCCCGAGTTTGCTTCCGAGGCCGTTTGTTCGACTCGGCAGCCGCATGCTTGTGGCAAAAGCCACAAACGTTGTGTTTGCAGCCGTCGCGGGAGGCGAAGAACAGGCAGGGCGTGCAGGTCCCTTGCCGGGTGGACACCTGGGCTGATCCACATGTGCTTGTTAATGGAGAAATAGATGTGGAGAAAAAATGAACGAACAGTCCCAGGGCAACCGAGTCACGGGAAAGACTTCGGCTCGCTTCGAAGGCAAGTTTGGCACCAGCGGGTCCTCGCTCCAGCTCCGACCTCTCGGCTGGCGGAGCTCAAGCTCCTGCAGAGGGACCAAGCTTGGCACAGAAATCGAACAGCCGAGCCGCCGAACCCCCAGACAAATCCACACGACAAAGCGCATAGGCGAGTAGAACTCAACCTGAAGGCCCCGTCCACTATGGTAGGGTGCGCGCAATTCACACAAGCAGCACAGATCTCAGGTCTTTATGTAGGTACTCCCCGGTCTACAAGGTCCTGCGCAAGATCTCTTGAGAGGATGTCTTTAGAAGGTGCTTGAAGGGTCCTGCGCAAGATCTCCTTGCATGATCTCTAACAAGGATCTCTGCACAAGACTCCAAAAAGGATCTGGATGATCAGTCCCTGCAAGATCTGTTCGCGAGTCTATATAAGGTCCCTCGTAGGTTCCAGAGGTATCTTGAAGATTCCGCGCAGCTCTTAAAGAGGATCTATCTGAGAGGTACAAAACGGGGTCTTCTCAGGATCTCTTTGCAGGATTCGTAACTCCTGGTGGCCTTCGAGTCGAAAATCTGCAGGGGGCTCTGGGTCTCTGTGCAAGATCGCCTTGGATCTTTGCAAGAGATGAAAGATCTCTGCGCAAGGCTCTCGAAATTTATTCTGCGCAACATGTCCTTCAACGGTACAGAAGATCACGAGGTTTCTAACATTTTCATTGGACCTTTTGCAGGATCTCTGCGCCAGATCCATGTGTAAGACCTTGATAGGATCTCGGTCCAAGATCTCTTTCCATCATCTCACCCTACAGGATCTTTGCACAACCAGCTCTTCAGGGTCCTGAGCGCGCCATGTTCAGAATCCACAGCGGAAACAACCCAAAAGGATTGACTTTCAATGCTCAACATCCGTCCGCCACAGCGAGAGCCGCCACAGCGAGAGCCGCCACAGCGAGAGCCGCCACAGCGAGATCGAACCGCAAAGGGTGCACCAATCCACCGTTTGCAGAATTCGCGTCGCAGAACGCCAACCTTCACACAAACAAACAAACAAACAAACAAACAAGCAAGCAAGCAAGCAAGCAAACAAACAAACAAGCAAATAATCAAGAACACAAACAGAAACACACACGCGTGCACGCACGCGGCTCGCGCTTCGAGCCTGCGCAGTTGAGATGCACAGCGATTTGGGAGAGAACTTTTGCCCAACGCGAAACGACGCCACGAGGCGAACCTCAAAATTATGCCTTACCGTAAGAACCCCTCACATTTGGGAGGCGTTTGAAAACTTGTCTGGAAAGCTCCCCGGCCCCAAGGCTTGGCTATGCCCCCTCCACCTGGAGAAAGCTCCTTCGATTTGGAAACAATGCAATTTTCAAAATCAAAGCACGAGGGGAAGTGCATAACAAAGGGGATAGCCGCTTTTTCAGGAGTGTCAGGCCAAATAGCCGATCATATCTCGGGGGTTCCGGTGACTGTCAGCGACTGCCGACAGAAAGCAGCTTGGACTTCCTGGCTTCTGACCAAGTTGCAATCCCAACTCTGGATCATTCTGGGCCCATGTTGACATTCTCAAAACCACGCTAAGGTGATTTGAAGGAAGCCATCCCAGCAAACATCTCACAAATATTGAAAAACCCTTCCATGGACCCAACTGTTCTTGGAGTGCCAGAACGAAACAAGAAGCACTTGGCTCATCAATGCTTGCACTTGCCAAGAGCGAACCCACTAGTATGGCTCACAAAATGTACCACAGTATCTTGGTATATGAAACCAAAGACGAAAGCCAGAACCGGCGTAACCCTAGCTCTTTAGTTTGAGCCACACCCTTTAACCGCCGCACCTTGCCACCATGCAACTATTGCAGACCGCCCAGACCGTCCCTGCAGAGCGACGGTCTGCGTCCCTGACATGAGTTGGCCTGTCTAAGCCCTTTGGCAGGGAATCCCGTTTCATGAACATACTGTGGATGGTTGCGAAATCCACTTCGCACCACGAAATGAAACCATGAAAAAACGATCTTAGGTTGGTATTTACAGGGGAATCATCATTCCAATGTTTCTCAGGTGGTGCAGGATTTCGTCCATCCACAGTATGGGTCTGTCTAAACCAATCCCATTGCGTTGACGTGAAAACCGAAAGGCACTGAACAACCCGCTGAGGCAATTGCTTGACGCGACAAACAGTTAATCACTTTGGAAGCCGCCGACTATACATCACCGATCTCGTCCCCCCTCACATGTTCAACTTTTTGGAAAATGGCAAAGGCCCCGCCCCCCCTCGCCAACAACAAGTGAACCAGCTCGACCAAAACCAACACCTGGCGTGCGATTCTCTGGTTCGACCAAAACCCGTTCTGCGTCCTCAGGGAGGACGACATCCAGGAAGGTGTTGCGCTCGAAGATCGGCATGTCCATTCTTTGCTTTGCACAACCAAACCTACCCTACCCTGCCCAGTTTCTTCAATGTTCCAAAATCAGCTGGAGCAACAAACTGCGGCGGCGCAGCGAAGATCCACCGAGCGCCTCAGACTGCTGTTCGCCGACCTGACCTTGAACGTAAGGAAGCTTCGTGGAGAGTCGACCAAAATGTCCCTTGATGAATGTCTTGTGTATCTCTGAAAGAATGGGAATTGTGAATCTCTTGGTATCTGATGTATGTATTTCCATGCTCACCATATGGTGTCATGCCTCTTATCCATCTCTTGTGTATCTCTTGGTCGGCCGTTTGCCCATCTTAGGAATGTCGGGTCCCATGTTTGCCCATGATCCGGGAGCCTTCCCGCTTCATTCGCAAACTTGAGGCAGCCCAAGCGCCTGGGATTTCGGGAAACAGCGCGGTTGGCAACACGAGGTCCGAATTCTGAGGGGTTTTGTATTCCACCCTGAGATTACACCCTTGGGAAATGACCCAGAATGGTTCAAACTAACACGGTGTTATCCCGGAAATGTGCTTAAATGGGGTCAAGACCCAGTGGGTGTATTCCCAGGGTGTAATACAACACCCCTTAGACGAATACATCATCTGGTAGCAAATGCTAAGGAAGATGCCAGTGTGCTTGCCCATGTGGGCATCCATCTCACTTAGGTAAAAAACCGTGGTTCCAAGCGGATCGCACTAACCATGTTTATGACCTTCACACCAAGTGCTTCAGGACAATACTTGTTTTCATTGCCTGGGGGGTCATTCTTCTGGGGAAGGAGATAAGCTCAATATCCTTTGCATCAAGTCGATCTGTGGGGGATACCCCTAGCAGAACATGGAACTCCGGAAAGTGTCCCACTGTGGCCAAATCAACCATTTGCCAAGGTGAGCATGTCCCCCCCCCCCCTCACAAAAAGATAAGGTGGACAATTGGAGTCTAATTGCAACCACCTTGTTGAGGGTATTGGGTTTTTGGGATTTGTGCTCTACTGATTCAGAGCCATAGCAGGGGGAGCCATGGAAGGGGTAGGTCTTTGATGATGCTTAACAGCTCCAAACAGTGTCTCTTGGTGACTAGTGACTATGGCCCTTGCTATGACTCTTCATCAGTGCGAGAACCTGGGCCTGCAAACTCACCCACTCAGCCTGCAAGCATGAGACCCCACCCCATCCCCACGCCTTCATAACCATATTCACCACGGTGCGCCGGACACCGGCCTTCTCCTTCCAAGCTTCACGCGAGATTGCTTGGGCTTGGAAACAGGGGTCCTCTGATTCTCTTGGCCCAAATCAGAGGCACGCGGAAATGGGTGTTCTCAGATGTTGTTTCAGTTTTACTCTACCCCAATACATGTATATGAGCCAGCGTCTATATTTGCTGTGTGGGGTGTATTCATTCTACTTTTAGTGAGTCCCCTATCGTTCTCCACGTTTCGCGTGTTCGTGCTGTGCCCGATGAACCCTCTGCAGGGATCGCGCGCCTCGAAGCGCTCCCACTGTGGCGCCGTGCGAACTAGCAAAGCGCCCGATGAACCCTCTGCGAGGATTGCGCGTGCCACAGCGCCCTCGCTGTGACGCCGTGCGAATTTTAAAACTGCCCGATGAACCCTCTGCAGGGATCCTGCGCGCCCAAGCGCTCTCGCTGTGGCGCCGTGCAAATTCGTAAAGTGCCCAATGAACCCTCTGCGAGGATTGCGCGTGTCAAAGCGCCCTCGCTGCGACGCCGTGCGAATTTGGAAAGTGCCCGGTGAACCCTCTGCAGTGATCCTGCGCGCCCAAGCGCTCTCGCTGTGGCGCCGTGCAAATTCGTAAAGTGCCCAATGAACCCTCTGCGAGGATTGCGCGTGTCAAAGCGCCCTCGCTGCGACTCCGTGCGAATTTGGAAAGTGCCCGGTGAACCCTCTTCGCGGTGACCACGCGTGCCCAACAAACTTTCTACGCAAACCCCTATAGCGCCGCGCGAACTCGAAAAGCACCCGACAAACTTTCTACGCAAACACAGCACTGGAACCACACGCGTAGTCTTTTGTAAGCAAATGCACTAGGCCTCACATTTGCAACTCGGGCCAATGCTCGGGGTATCGACGGGGTATCGACCGGGGTATCGTTCTGGGCGTGTGTCGCGTGACGAAAATTTTCACAATTTTCCATAAGCTGTTAGAGCCAAGCAAACACACAATAGCCTTCTCTGCCTTGCGGTAATCATATATCAGTCTTGGCGGCTTGCTTGCTGGCAGCAACCTCAAGGTCGCAAGTCGCAACTTTCACCACAAGCGCAGTGCACAAGTTACACTTCGGCAGCTCCAGCTCGAAGGTCGCAGCTTGCGGCGGTCACGTGTCAGTCTAAGCGGCTTTTGCTTGCTGGCAGCAACCTCCAGGTCGCCAGTCGCAGCTTTCAGTACAGGCACGGTACACAAGTTAGACTTCGGCAGCTCCAGCTCGAAGGTCCAGCACAAACCATGCTCAGGGGTATCGTTTTTTGTGAGTCCCCTATCGTTCTCCAAGGAAAATGCAAAAAACCAGTATTGAATGAAACGCCGTTGATAAAGTGGTCTTTGATAATTCTGAGGTTGACTCATATATATATATATATATATCCACATACACATTGTATATGTGTATATACATAGTATACACCCATGCTAAAAATATATATATATATATACATATAAATATATATATATATATAAACAAACAAACAAACAAACAAACAAACAAACAAACAAACAAACAAACAAACAAAGCCCCTGATGTGTTGGTCAGATGGAGCCATTTTCCGAAGACCAACTGGAAATAACGGTGCATTTACCTCAGAACGCGGAAAGGCAAGCAGTGGAAAGAGTTTTGCCTAAGCACGCGGCCATCAATGCAAGTTTAGTTTCAAGCAAAAAAACGATACAGGCTGCGAATGTTCATCCCATGACCACTTGATGACCAAGCCTAGCCTCCATCTGAGATGCTCAGCTACAGAGTAAATCAGACTCCTGCCCAAGATTTGAAGGGTGTGTGTATTACACACGGGTAAAGCCATTTCCAGACAACACCTTGAGGTCGGATCTTGGGCCACTTCCTGGGGGCAGTTGCAAGGGAAACGATGGCCTGAGAGCCCCAGAAATGGAGCTGTCAACTGAAGCGATGCCATTCGGAGTCTCGCCTTTTCCACGCTGAAATCCTGGGATTTCAGGTTCCGGAAGAAAGGAAATGATCCATGGGGTCCGCCTTCACCGAAGTTGACATTCAAATCATTGGGCGACGCTCGGGTCCTGACATACGGAACGTCTGAACAGCCAGGAGAGCCCGCACCCTCCGTTTTTGTGGGGAAAGGGAATTGGTTTCAAGGTGTGAAACACCTTACACAAACCTAGATAACTACGCATGGTTTACTCTCGCAATCATGACTATGTGGTTTGAAAGCACCACACAAAAAAGCCCTTGTATGACTCAAATGGACTTAAACCCTCAAAAAGAAACTACCTGGATCGCGAAGTTCCGGCCTTTTCCCCGACACTTTACCCTAAACACCAGACAGAGTTGCCAAGGGGAAACAATAAAGCCACTGGATCGCTCTTTAGGTGGGTTTGAATGCACCTTTTGCGCAACCAAAACCGGCCCCGGAACTCACGCAAAAAACAGGGCGCTGCCGTTCTTGGTTGCTGTTGACCCCCCTGCAAAAAGTAAATAACTTTTTGGGGGTTTGGTGGAACACCCCTTGATTTCAACCAACAAGTTACACTCCCTCAGGCAAACAGCCGGAAGCTCCCCCAGTTGGCCTCTGTAAATGGAACCAAGTCTTCCAAAGGGGTCCGTCCTGGGAGCTTCCATGTTAGTCTGAGGGAGTGTAAAGTCTAAACTTCCATTTGGTTAAGACCCTGGAAAAAATCCAGTAGTGCTAGATTCCCCCCCCCCCCAAAAAAAAAGGGGGCAAATGAAAACATATTCTTAAGCAAATGGAAGTAAAGATCCGTCGCCCAATCGCAGATCGAGGCATTGAGCCGCTCTTTGCTCCTCATCGCTGCTGGGCAGCAACCCGGCGTCCGCCAGCACCCCACGGATCTCCGTGAGCTGCAGCAGCCCGTCCCCGTCCTCCGACGGCGCGCTTCGGAGCGAAGAGGAACGGGAGAAATGATTTTTTCTCCGCCCTCCATTTCACCCGAAGGGACACCGAAATCAAGATTAGACCTAGGATGTTCAACCAACTTAGAACCAAGATTGTACCTAACTTGGATGTCCAACCAAACTTGGAGTAACTGGGCTTGGTCCCCTTATGGTGATATGTTACTTGCTAAGTTGGTTGAACATCCAAGAAGGCTAAAGCAGGGTCTTTCCACCGGCCTGGCCGGGAAGCCGCCCGGATCTCGCCGAGAAAACATCGATGGCCACACGGGCAACTTCAAAAAAGCGAGGCATCACGGGAGTCACAATCAAAACCCGGGTCTTAAAATGGTCGTAATCCCAGAACCATGCTTCAAGAATTTAGAAGGCGGAGATCCGCAGCTATTTCTGGTTGGGATCGTCCCTTGCTAACCTTCATCTACCCGGGTTTTGATTGTGACTCATGGGAGACTGCCAACCAAAATCATTGGGACATGTGCAATTCTACGTTTGAGGGTCCTACTAAGCCGCGCTCCAAGATATCGCGGGTCGCCCATCCCTACTTCCCCACCTAAACGGGCAATCCATCTGTTGAGAACAAGGCTTGATCCCTAAAATTACCTACGTGGGTGGAACATCCAGGGGTTATCCAAGGTCAATCCGGCTGTCAAAACTCAGAAAGGGGAAAAACCCAAAGTGAATGGTTGCCTTTTGGTGTCCCTCTAAACCAACCCCAAAAAGGGTATCTTTAAAAAAAAGGACTCCCCAAGTCAGTTTGGTCCCTCCATTGCAACCAGCCCGTGAGACCGCGAGAGAGACCCGGGCCTCGTCATATCGATCGAAGTCTGTGAGGACCATCTGCTCGTCCTGGCGGAATTCCATGGAGCGCCACATTTTTTTTGTTGGTTGATGTCAAAGGGCCCCCCCCTTCCCAAGACAAGGGCAAAAGGGTCCCGCTGGATTCTATTTTGCGACTAAGTCCTTCTCCCGCACCAGCTCAGCGATGCGCTCGCCTGCAAGCGCGGAGGCCCGATATCCCCCACCCCCGCCAAAACCCCGATATCCCTCCTTCCCAAGTTTCCGAGAAATAAGAAATAAGAGTGAAGCTGCAAGGGGGTCTTCAGGACCCTCAAAAAGAGGCGGGGGGGGGGGGCGCCCTGAAGCAAACCAAATTCGCTTTCGGAGGTCAAAGAATTGCTGTGGGGACCCCTCCCAAAGAGTCACTTGAGAACCAGGGGTCCTTGTTGGCTAGGACTTCTTGTTTTTGGAACACGGCGAGCTTCATCCCGAATGCCAGTTTGGTACATCAACAACATGATGGGTGACCCAAACACTGACAAAAGGCATCGCAAAAAACATGGCCACAAAACAACCTCCTAGTGTCCAACTCCCCTCGCTACCGTGCCTTCTTTGAGCAGAGCCTGCCGAGCCATCTCCCGCAGCACGTTTGCTGCCGCCTGCGAAGCCGGAAGCCAGAGTCGCCATCTATCGGTGGTCAACACCCTCTATGTGCCCCGTGGCCATTTCTACCATGGGGGGATTCTCTAAGAAGTATGAGTCATTGCCGTAGTTCTCTTAATAACGGCTGTTGAAATCCTCTAAAGGGTTCATGACAATCACTACGGGAAGCCTCTCTTGATCTTGCAGATGATGTGTTCTCAGTTTTGGTCGGTGCCAGAACAGGAGGCCCAAAACATGTGTGGAAGATGAAGGGAACACGGTTCCCGGTCTGATCTCCAAATGGAAAAGAAGCCCACAACACACACACACACCCTTCAAACAAGCAAAAACATGGGTGGCTTCCCACCACAAAAAACCGAGAATGGAGAATGGGTGGCTTCCCATTTTGCCTTGAAACGGCCCAAACCTCCACCACTCCTTGTGAGCCCGCCGGTCGGCTCGTATCACCGAGCGGTCCTCGGCGCTCGGGACCGCTCGGGGGGCGGGGCCGGGTTTGGGTGCCCTGTTTCACCTGCGTTTTGGCCCGCTTGCGTGGTCGACCAATGTAAGTTTCATAGATCTTTAAAGCAGTGCCACCAAATTCACCCCCCCCCCCAACCATGTTCACGTGATTCGGGGGGGTTACACAGGTTCTTCCTATTTAGACAAGTTCGAAAGTTCGAAAAAGCTCCGAAGATATCTGGGAATGATAGTTGGTTGAACCTTTTGTTGGGCTCCCCCTTTTCAGGTTGGACAGGGTTGGGTCCACGTCCCGAGTTTTGACACACACCAAAAAAAACAAAAACAGTTCAATCGGAATCCCAAAAAAAGGGTTCGGGACCCCCTTCCTCTAAACACAGATCTGAGCAACCTCAGCTGAGAGATCCTCTTGTGCGGATGTCTGAGGTCGACATGTGAAGAACCGCCCCAAATGGCGGTCTCAGACGTTTATGACTCTCATTGGCATTTGGGGGGCCGGATTAAAAGCATAGGTCCCCTGCATAAGGGCCAATGCAAATGAGCCACGGTCAATATTCATTGTGTCCCCCCCCTTTGACATGGGAATTGGGTGAGCCTTTGTTCTCGCTTTAAAGTCAACGCCGCAAGGAAAACTACCTTTGTTTTGACACATACCCCGTGAGGGTCCATGTAAATCTGCAAGGGGCATCCATGCCCTTCACGACGAGGAGCCAAGGCCAACTTCTGCTTCTGCCGGTGGATCAAGCGTCTCCCCCGCGTTGTGAGGTCGTTCTGCCAGGTCAGCGCCAGTGGGAAACAGGTTCCTCCCTTTGGCTACTAAGGATTGGAGGGGACAACTCCAAGTGTCCAAAGCCGAGCTGTTTAAGCAACCTCCCTTTCGCTTGTCTTAGGCAACCAGGCTGTGGTCTCACTTACTGAGAACCCAACCATCCGGAACCTTTGGGTCGGACTCGTGGTACTCGCCCCTTTGAGAAGATGTCCAACTGATCTTCTCTAATTGGTTGTTTATGCCTACGCCGTTGTTTGCGGCAGTGGACGGCTTGCACATGTTTTACATTTCGGGGGCGCTTCGGGATGGGCAGGTTTGGGGGGGGGTCATGATTACGCGCAGTTGCTGCCGCTTGGCTTAGAGCATGTCCAGCTTCGATGCTGGCAAAGTGATTATGCTCAGGTCAACTCTGGTCTATTTCCAGCCCTTTTCTCGGTCCCTTGGTCCGACTGAGCGCTTGACATCCTGCCAGAGCCTCCACCAAAACATCAAGCGTCAGAGAATCATGCGAGCTTCGGATGCTTGAAGCTGTCCAGAGCCTGATGGTCCCACTCCTTGCGTGTCAAGGGCAACCCAGTGTAGGGTGCGCAACCGTCGACTCTGGTGCATGTTCAGCAACATTCTCCAATTGTTGCTTGTGGATGTGCACCACAAAGTGAGGCCAACAGATGCCCATCTGGCAAGACCACTCGAAGACTTTGGAAATGAACCTTCAGCTCATGTGCTATGAGCTTCAGGGTGTTCAAGGCCAGATCCGACCTGAAGGCAGGCAGGCGTACCACCTCATCGCCAGCCAAATTGGCACATATCACAGTAACTGCATCAACATCTCGGAAAACTAAATCCAGTTGCAAAGCAATAGTGAGGCCAAGCTGAACATTGCCGACATAGCAACTGCCGGGCCCTGGAGACGGAAGGTCTCGTTCTCTAACGCCAAAGAGTCCACAAACTGCTGCACTACCATCACTTCGGAGAAGCACTGTGTTACCAGCATGTGCAGAAACCTGGGTGTAGGACATTCCCTCCTCCAAAGGAGGGATGTTGCACTCTCCATACATGTTCGATCCACAAGCCACAGCACTGCCATCGTTTCGGAGGAGCACTGTATGAGTAGGGCCCGCACAAACATGAGTGTATGACATTTCCCCCTGCAAAGCAGGGATGTCGCATTTTGTGTGACCATTGCATCCACAAGCCACAGCACTACCATCACTTCGGAGAAGCACTGTATGATCATAGCCTGCAGAGACGTGGATGTATGACATTCCCTGATCCAAAGGAGGGATGTTGCATTGTCCATGATTGTTCACTCCACAGGCCACAGCACTACCATCGCTTTGCAGCAACACTGTATAATCAAAGCCTGCAGAAACCTGGGTGTATGACATTCCTTCCTCCAAGCCTCCAAGGGGGGGATGTCGCATTGTCCATGATCCTTCTTTCCACTAGCCACAGCACTACCATCGTTTCGGAGGAGCACTGTATGATTAGCACCCGCAGAAACATGAGTGTATGACATTTCCCCCTGCAAAGCACGTATTTTCCCTTTTTGCGTGACCATGGCATCCACAAGCCACAGCCCTACCATCACTTCGGAGAAGAACTGTATGATCATAGCCTGCAGAAACCTGGATGTAGGACACTCCTTCCTCCAAAGGAGGTATGTCGCATTGTCCATCATCGTTGTCTCCACAAGCCACTGCACCACCATCGCTTTGCCGGAGCACTGTATACTCAAAGCCTGCAGAAACCATGGCGCAGAAAAAGGCAATTTGAACAAATTGTTGTTGTTGTTGTTTGGCGCTGACCCGCCATAGCAAACACTTGACTGCAGTTCAGAGACTCCCGTGTGAGAAGTATCTGGCAGATTCAACTCGTTAGTGCTTTCAAAAGAACCAGAGATGACTCGCTCGACCGCATGATCTTGATTCTCATGCGGTTGCCGCTAAGGCAGTTGCAGGGAAGGCGCTCCGCTGGATGCAGATGTCTTGCTCTTCAGGTGTCATGTGGCGGGAGCGCCTTTTGTTAGACTAACCCCCCTCAAAATAAGCATGGAATTCGGTCATTGGTTTCCCTTTCCCACTCAAAAAAGGAACCACGGCCACATGCCACGGCCACCACACGCCTCCACACTCGCCGGCTTGGAGGGGCTCCAGGGTCTGGGCTCTTCGTGCCTTCGAGAAGACCCATCCCGCCGATTGACCCAGACCCGTCTGGCGCCGATTTTTGTTCTCCTCCTACCCAAAAAAAAATCGGGTGATCCGGCGAATGGGCTCAAAAAAGTGGGTTACACATGATTGTCCTTTAGCGCAACCGATGACGAGAGCCCGATTGGGCCCCCCCCTCCCGCCCTCCCGCCCTCCCGCCCTCCCGCCCTCCCCTTCGCCCCCCCCCTTCACCCCCCAATGGTGGATTGGCAAAATCCACTTTGCACCACTTGGTAGAGGTTAATCCCAGTGTTCACAGGGTCCCCGTCCGTGTTGTTTGGCCGAGGCATTGGAAATAAGCCCAAAAGCCCCATACAGGGGGTGGTTGACCTCAAATGGTACGTGTCATCCTGAAAACTGCGGCTTCCCTGTAGGACGCCAAAATGCAAGCTGGGTCAAACCCGGCAGTAACACAGAAGATACCTAAAAAACACAAGGGATGGTCAGGCCCACTTTTGGAGGGTTCTAGCAGACCTCAGTTCCCATGCTACAGACTTCGGCGCTTGGCGCATCTGTTGCTCTGCGACTAACAGCTTGGCCTCGCCAAAGCGCCTAGATATAGCCACGCAGGCTTAACTCCTACCAGCCATGTAGAGCCCCTTGCTCACCTTCGGTTCTCCCCCAAGGCCGACATAATAAAAAAAGGAGGTTCCAAAACCCACTTTCGACTTCCTCGGGGTCCAAAACCTCTTCAAATAATCCACCGCAGGACCTCGGCCCCAGGTCCACCCCGCCCCCCCGACGCCGACGCCGTCATCCGCTCGCGGCCGCGGCGCGCGGAGCTGCTGCGGTCCGCGAAGGAGACGCTCACCGTCGGCTTCAGATCCACCCGCCGGTCCTTCTCCTGAAAAGCCGAGAGGCGCGCGCGCGCGCAAGCCCGCAAGCCGCGAGCCGCTCGCGCCGCGCTCGGACTCGACCCGTGTTGGCGTTCTCTGGAAAAAGGAAAAAAATCCGAGGCCCGGGTCCTTTTTAAAACGGGGCCAGCTGCTTCCAGCTGCGGATTTAGCCGAAAATGGGAAAAACAATTGAAACGTACTTCCAGCGATGGATTCCCTTCAAAACCAACTTGTATTCTGAAGCAAATGGAAGCCTGAAAAGGAGAAATATGGGAAACCCTGAAAACGGGACGTTTATTTTTTGGTTTCGCCCGTTTCAAGCCAACGGATGCGTGTCTCACGGGACAAACCCGCCTCTGGTGCTGCGGGAGGGCGCTCGCAGAGCGCGGAGTGGCGACCTGGGCCCATGCCCTGAGTGATCGAAGGAATCGGAGCCCATGTTGGACTGCCGTCAGCCAGGCTTAGGGCTGCTTGGTTCCTTAGGGAGACTTGGGCAGACTTAGGAAGACTCGGAGTTCTCGGAAGAAACGGGGTACTTGGTACATAAGCCTGGTTTTAACCCACTTGGACGTAGAACCATGGTAAGGTTATCATGGGTACTAACTGCAAAAACCTGGCGTGCCCCTTTTGGCCCATCCCCTTAGGCCTTCGACTCCCCCCCCCCCGCTTTGCAACGGAGCTGCGCTCCCGGAAGCGCAAGATGGCTTGCACGTCCTCGGAGGTCCGGTCGTCCTGGGACCCCATCACCACCCCTACAGAGGCAAAGCAGGGTGTTCGGACCCGGCACCTCATGTGAAAGCGCTGTCTTTTGCTCCCGTGAATCAGTAAAAGGCAATGCTTAAGACCTTTTTGGACCAAAAACGGGTGGACCCTCAAATTGCCCTGATTTACCCGCATCATTCTGGGATTCTGGGGCAATCTCTCATTTTTGAGGGCAGTTTGGTCCAGGATTGCATCTGCAGGGCTTCTCAGTTCTCAACCCTGCGTTGTTTGAAAGTTTGGGTTTCTCTTTCCCAAACCCCGGGGCGACCTGCGCCAATGTTCAAAAAGAAACGGGGTGGGTGAGGATCTGTCACGTTTTCTTTGGTGCAACTGCTCGTGAAGGCCTCTGGCTCCATTTTGGGGGGCTCTTCTGGAGCCCGAGCCCAGGGGTGTGAGTTTTAACGACAACCCCCCGCTTTATCATGGTGGACATAAATAAAGCCGTGGTCACCCAAAAGGTGGGAGGTGCTGTTTCCCTTGGGTTTCCTCCAAAACGACCTCGACACAGGCAGCGACTCGCCCATACTTCCCTTTTGGTGCGGCATCTCGGGGCTTGAGCAGACTACCAACGGCGCAATGGTGCTGCTTTTTGGTATGCTTCTTAGTTCTTGCATTTTGGGTTCTGTTTATTTCTAGAGGCCAAGAGAAACGCATTTTTGGAGGCATACAAGGGGGCTGGGGACGCTTGGGATCCGATCTAAGGCCTTACCGGAGAGTGGGCTAAAATTCGTAGGCTTGTAGGCGGAAAGGGAAGCTTGCCACGCTTCGGGTAGAAAGGAAACCCTCTGTCGACTTGTATCGATTTCGCCACAGGGATTGACCAAAAAGGATGTAACCCACTCCCGTGGTTGGCACCTCCAGTTGCACCTTCGACCTCACGGGCCATCCATTCAAAGAAGTTCCACCCAAAGCTAAGCAAGCTCATATTTTGTTTTGGCGGCCCGACGGCGGGCCGCCAAAACACGGGGGTCGCCATGGTGCACCATCATTTGCCCTGGATCTATGGGTCCCCTTGACACGCCATGGGAATCGGTTGAAGAGGTTGTCTGCAGCGGCTTCGAGGCCTTCCCTCAGGCCCGTTGCCAGACATGCTGACTTTTGGGCACCCGTTGCCAGACATTCTCCAGGTGCCCAAATGGCCGTGGGTGTCAAAACCCAGGAAACCCCTGGTGAACATCATAGGCGGCAAATGGATGTTCATCCACCCCAAAATGGGATCGCCATAGGTTATGCCCCATGGCCAAATTATCCCCACCTAAAAATTCCAGGTTGACCCAACTGGGATTCTCCCAAATATCTGAAAATGCAAGCCCCGGCGCCCGCCACGCGTAAATACAGGATATGACAAAACAAAGATGGGAAGAATTATGCCTTCGGGTGGTCTTCCACGTGGATGTGTCTTTTGAGGTACCCTTTTGGGGAGTTGAAAGGGAAACAAAAGTGGAGCCACCATGTCCGTCTTGGGTCCCCCTATTTTGACACAGTCCACTTCCGCTTTGCCTTCCGTTGCTTAGGAATCCACCACACGGGCGGCAAATCCAGGATGCCCGCTTTGAATGGCTGGTATCCTACTAACTGGTGGGCATGGGTTCTCCATCCACTCGACGTGGGAGCCAGGCCAAAGGCAATGTTTGAGTCACCCATGAATTTAGAAAACTTGGTTGACACACCCCTTCTCTTGCTCTTGACCCCTCTGCAAAAAGCTTAACTTTTTGTGGGCCCAAAGGAAAATCCATCAAAGCAACCAAAAGTTAAACTCCAAAGATCCGTTACCAACTGGCCATAAAGCCAAACTCGCTTTTTTAGGGCAAACAATGTGTGTCTTGTTTGAGGGCACTTCCTTTTCGTTGATTGGCTTCAAGGAGAAGCCAAATAGAGAACCACCATTTGGCTGTGGCTCAAAATAAAAGAGCTAGCGCAGGTTTCGTCTTATGTTTTGAGCCACAGCCATTTTGGGACTTTCTCAAACCGGTCGACCGCCGGAAAGTGGTTTTGGCATTTTTCCAAGGAGAAAAAAAAACAAAGCAACCTCTGCCAAGCCCGTTTCGGAGGGTCCCGGTCGAAGAGTCACTTGCTCAAAACCCGGGTCTTAAAATGGTCGTAATCCCAGAACCATGCTTCAATAATCTAGAAGGCGGAGATCCGCAGCTATTTCTGGCAAGGGGATTGTCCCTTACTAACCTTCATCTACCAAAGGGTTTTGATTGTGGCTCAAGTGGGCAACCCAAACAACGACAAGAAAGGTCAAACGAGACACACTACACAAACGAAAGGTAGGTCAACCCCAGCCAACACACAAGCAAGAACCAACAGGTTCACCCAAATCAAAACCGATTAAAAAAAAGAAAAGAGGAAAAAAAAAAAGGAGAAAAAAAAGAGAAAAAAAATGGAAAACACAACGAGAAAAAAACAAGAGGTGACTCAAAAAGACGATGCCCGTCCCCGTCCTCCGAGGACGCGGAGGACGCCGACAGCTTCGCCCGGCGCCTCCGCGCCCGCGGCGAGCTGCGCCCCGACGCGGGGCTGCGGCCGCCGCGGCGCCCGCCACGCTCGGTGCCGAAGCGCGTGCCCGGGCGCGAGGCGAACTTGGCCGCCTGACAATGGGCGCTGCTGGTGTTGGATTAAACCTATGTTTCTATGCACATGTGTATATATATATATATAGAGAGAGAGAGTAGTGTTTCGTTCATTTATGCATTAAATTAGACTGATCGATTTAACTAGTTATTTATTTGCGTGCTTACTTATCTATGTACGGTGGATTTATGGACTTCTTATATTCAGTAGTTGGGTTAATGCATTTGTTTATGTTATATATATATATATGTATGTATGTATGTAGGTAGGCATGTATGGATAGACATGTGTGTGAATCGACAGATTCGTACATGCACGTGAATGTGCATATGAGTATATACACGCATACATCTGGGGGGCGGGGGGGCGTCTTTTTTAGGGGACCCACCATTTTGCGAGGTGTCCTTGTGGTTTTCTGAGAAAACAAGAGAAAAAAACACGGAAAAGAGGTACCCTCAAAACAAGACACGCTTCATTAACACACACACACACACACACATCGCGTCGCGGGGACTCGTGGCCGCCATATTTTTGCGGCCGAGTTGCTTCCCTCTTGCGGTTCTGGCCTTGGTGGATGTCTGGATGAATCAACTTGGAGTACTGCGCCCAAATTTGAATGTGGGTTCTTGGGAAACAGGCTCTCTGGGCTCAGAACAGGACAGTTGTCCATCTCAAACATGAGTCGCCCCAAAGTTCCAGGATCCAGGAACGGCCTTGAGAGTCTATGCGACTTGAAGTGCGACTACCTGATCATATGGCCATGGGTCAATATCCGAATCGTACCCCCAGTGAACATCCCAATCCCCACTAAAATAGGTTCTAAAATGTGTGGTGTACCTACCCCAGAATAGTACCATTGATTTTGACCCACAGCCAACTGTGTCCTGAAAGCACCAAAAACTCCACTCTGGCGTGTTATAAATTTGACGACATCAGTGATGCCCAAATTGGATTCCCATCACCATGACGACTTTGTTCACTTGTGCGCGGATTGCTGGCGGGCTTTTCTGGTGATGCAGCCAGGGTGCTGATTTGATCATTCTGAGATGCTTACGTTGGCAGTGGCTTTTAATGCAGGCAGGGTGCTGTCGTGGGTGCTGCTCAGGGTGCTGCTCAGAGTGCTGGCATGCTCGGTGGTGTGGTGGTTGCTGCTGGTGCTTGTCTGACGACGCAGTGTTTAGGCTGCTTGTCAGGGTGCTGTTGAAATCTCCCACGCTATTTGCTGATGTAGTGTTAATCCCCTTTGTATCGCAGAAGCTGGCCATACAGGTCAGCTTAGGGGACCCCAACAAAATGAAGGTTGATTCCTTGAGATGTCTCTCTACACCAACCCAAAACGGGTACTCAAAGAGACACTCCCCTTTGCTCCCACGTTGCCTGCACAAACACAGAACCTGAGGATCCGTTCGTTCGGTCCTCGCCCACGGTGATAACTTCTCGAACGATCCGCGCCTCCCCAGCCCCTAGTACTATGCCGGGAAAACGCATAGTTGTACTTAAAGATACGATCGGCTGCTAAGCAAGTGGTTGGTAAGTTAGTAAGCCCGGTTCTAACCCATTGAACGAAAACTTACAACTTACAACCATGGCAGGTGGGTTGTAGCCATGGCTATTACCCACTTGCTAAGTACAATGCCCCTTCTTAAACCACTGAAAATCGACAGAGCCCAAGCCCAAGGGGAGTCAAAATAGGAACCTTCCTTCTTAACCTTTCCAAAATGCCCTCCGAACGCGTCTCAAAGGTTGTTCTGAAGGAACCCCAACATGTTTCCCCTTTGTCGAGGGACCTTGAGATCCAAGCTGAGAAGTGCTTGGACAAACCCAAATCCCAACAAACCTTTCTGAGAGCGCATGCAGACCCTGGACCTTTACGGGATATCGCCCCAAACTGGGGTAAACTCCAGTTGCTTGGGGTAGTTTGAGGCTCAGTGCAGGTACGATTCCATCGAATTTCCCCCAGACATGGCCTTTTGGGGCGGGTGTCCCTTCAAAAACGGGTTTTCGGTTTGGGCTTCCCTTGAACCACCATGTGTTCGGCTTCTCTTTAAACATTAGGTGTCAAGCATCCGGTGGACCCCTGTGCCACAGACACTTCGAGTGTATTTTGCAGCCACGATCCCTAAAGAAGCAAAACCCCCAAAGAAGGAGGTGGCAAGACGGTCCCGAAGTCTCCATCATACGGACCCGGACCCCCCCGAATCCCTCCGTTTCCGAAGCTCCGTGTTTTTTTTTCCTCGGGAAGTGAGAAGTGCACCTAAACATTACCCTACAGAAACTGAACATGGAACCCCGAAAGCCCTCCTTCTCGGACAAAGCTCCTTTTGGCTGTTGACCCCCATGCACAAAGCGAATCACTTTTTGAAAGTTTCGTGGAAAACCCCTTGATTTCGACCAACAAGTTACACTCCCTCAGGCAAACAGCCGGAAGCTCCCCCAGTTGGCCTCTGTAAATGGAACCAAGTCTTCCAAAGAAGTCCTTGGAGCTTCCATGTTAGTCTGGGAGCCCAATAGCAGTTTTTTGCCCCGCCGGGGGCTCGGACTCCCTTGCTTGAAGTCCAGGGGCTCTGCAGCAGCTCCGCGGCCGTGTGCTTGGCCTCGTCCAGGCGCACCACGTCCTCCCGCAGCACGCGGAAGGCCGGCATCTGCATCTCCACCGTGCTGAGCAAGTTGGGCTTTCATGGGGATTTCAGTCATATGGGCAAAACCGCAGGCATGGGCGACTTGGGGATTCCAGTCATATGGTCAACGTGCTGAGCCAAAAGTTGGGCGACTTGGGGATTTCAGGGGCAAAACCGCAGGCATAGGCCGGGGTCAAAACTTGTGGCCATGCCCATTTCTTTAGGAACCTTCACATTTCACCCGTTGATGACCATCGATATCAACCCCAAAAAGAAACTTGGTTGACGTTGGAAGGGGAGCAACAATTTGATTTTTAGCAGTTCAGTGAGGGATTTCAACCACTAAACAACAAGAAGCAAAAATGTAAAATGTTGCCCAACAACAACCATGGCGAGGGCAACGACGCAGGGTGGCCATGGGTTGCATAACCTATGGCGATCCCATTTTGGGGTGGAACACCCATTTGCCACCTATTTTGATGGTGAAAGGGGTGGGAAAGGGGGGGAGGAATTTTGGACCGAACCAAGGGCTAGGTTCAACGGATGAAAGGCGGGGGAGGAATGGTTGAGAAACGAGAACCCCCCCCAAATGCAAAGCAGCAACCAGGAATTCCCGGACAGAGAGTCCCTTTCTTTGGCTGACTTGTCTTGCTACCATTCGGGCGGATGGGCGGAGACCCCAAAAGGGGTCTTTTCAAGGACCCTTTGGGGGGATTCCACTTGGGGGGGGCGGTTGGGAAGGGGAGGCAGCAAACGACTTCTCTGAATGAAGGTGATCCCACGAGAGAACCATTCTGGCGCCCTTGGCAGAAGGGGAGGCATGCATCCAAAGGAGGGGATGAGAGGAGGAAAGGGTCCGCCCTTGAAATTCCGCATTTGGGTGTGCCTGTTTGGTTGGGAGAAGGGGAATCACTTGGGTAAATCCAAGGAGTCAGGAAAAGCTTGGGAGATGCATCCGGAGAAGGGGAACCTCGTTTTCTTGAACCTGGACTTTGCGTTTTTCTCCATCTCCGCAGACCGGATACCTAGGGAAAACCGGGGAACCCCAAGGGGAGGCGCTTTCTGGGCGCCCAACAGCCAGGGTGTTGTTGTTTTTTTCCACTGGAACGTCCGGCCATTTTTCTTGGCTGCGTTTCAACCAGATGGCTTGAACCTGCTGGCTGCACGTGAGGTCTCTACTCAGCCACGAAACCCGTGGGCGGGGGCCAGGGTCGAGGTTCACAAAAGGGGCCTAAGATTCGATGCATATTTCAGGGACCCCCGCAAAGAACAAAACATATTGGGTTCCTGTTATCTAAACCTTCCCAAAAAAAAAGTCCCCCAAAAAAACGAAGCCTCCTGTTTAGTCTACCCCCACCTAAAAGCGCTTGGGAGACGCTGTAGGGCAGCCGTACCCGCACCGAAGCTTCGGGCCTTCGTGTGAGGCTGATGTCCCCGGCTCCATAGGCCTTCTCCCGGCGCTTGCAGTATTCGCGCTGGCTCCTGGTGCGCGGGTTGACCTAGCGCCAAAAATGGGGGCGGTCCTAGCTTCCCTTGAAACCAAGCCAAAACCGGTTCCCTCAAAAAGCACAAATGAACACGGGGTGTGTTGCTTGGGGCATGCTTGTTGGGTGGGTAAAAAGAAACCAAGTCTCAATTCAGCCTGGAACCTGAATGGGCTTCAAAGTGGTCCAAATGGTCGTTTTTGGAGGGAACTTTAGTTGGACCAGAGACGACCAAGCAAAAGAGTATCTCCCCACCCAGGGCGTGTGTTTTGTTTGAGCGCACCTTTTTGGGCTTGTTCCTCCCCTCTCTCCCCTGGAATGGCAGAAGCATCCCCAATCAACACGCGACTGCCTTGATAGACGTGGTTTTTCTCCGGAGGTCTGCGGACGCGGCCGAGACCACCGGAAGGTGAGATTCTTTCCAGCAGATGCCCAGTGCCCTTAGACAGCGCCAACGGAGAATCGTGGCACGGATGACCAAGGGAGGCCCGCTGAAGATGTGCATGGGTGACTGACACGGGACTTTGAGCCGGAGGAGGTTTACCGGTAGAACGGGAGAAGAGGACGAGGAAGTGGGAGAAGGCGACCTAGTTGGAAGAGAAGGAGCAGGCCATCCTCCGTAGGGGAGGTGATGGACGGCATCCAAACGATGCGCCGTGAGGTTTTGCAGCGGCGTTTTTCCAGCGGCAAGGCTGCAAGGGCAAGGAGTTGAAGCATGGCGAAGGTGGAGTTTTTCGAGCGCGAGGAAGCCACAAGCTAAGGCCCTGAAAAGTGCGGGTGTTTGTAGAGCACCAAAGCTTGAGACGGGCCACTTCCTTTGTTTTAGCTTCTGTCTGACACCTGAAGTTCCGTCAAAATTTGTTGTTCACAGTTAAGTACGTTCGAATTTAGAGAGTCCCCTATCGTTTTCCAGCGTTTGGAACACAAAGGTATCGTTTGTTGAGAGCCCCCTATCGTTTTCCATGGTTTCAAGCACCTTGAATATTCAAGTGTAGACTAGGCTTCAAAGTAAACAGTAGCACTATATCCATTTTCCAGTATCATACTATATCAACCGCGCGAAACCGCGCAACTCCGTGCTTCGACCCCCCGCAGCGAATTCAAATAAAACCGCTGATGGTTGTTGTTGTGTTCTTTTTCTCCCCCGTTTTGGCGCTTCAAAAGTGCAGTCTTTTGGCGCAGCCTAACTTTGGAAGTGCAACTCGCGAATTGAATTGCTGTCCACCGCATCTCCACGGTCCATGCCGCCAGCAGCCCCGCTGTGGGGAGGGCACTCTTTCGAGGCCGTGCCCTTTCACCTTCTTTCGAGCACGGCTTCTGCGATCAACCATAGCTAAGCAATCCCAAAACCTGGAGTAACGAAATAGACTCTTTTACGACAAACAGTGCCTGGAGTAGCCCTTAAATCTGCGAAAAGCCAAGCAAACCCCACCCACATCCTGCAAATGAGGCACCATTTATTCTTGCTTGCGCCCAAGGCAATTTGGTGAGTGTAACCCATGCCATCTGCTTTGCAACACTGTTGACCCCAGATTAATAAACCCCTGGTTGATTAACAAAAACCCGTGGTTGCTTCCTTCCCCTTTTGGGGGATTCGTCACTTTTGAAGGGAACACCACCATTAATTATGTTTTTCGCGCCTTGACCCCAGATGTGTTACTCTAAACCCCTGGCTGATTCATAGGGTCCCCTTTTGGGGAAGAACCACCTTTGAAGGGAACACCACCATCAATTAAGTATGGTCGCGGCTTGTACTGTTGAACCCAGATTCCTGTTAAACTGTTGGCTGATTCAGAAAGGGTGTCCCTGTCAAGAGGGATGATGCGTAGGCTCCTGGCGCTCCGGCGGCGGCGGCTGCACAGAGGACCCGCATAGGGCGAGACCATGGGCAGCGGCGTGAGCCCTGAACTCGAAGTGTGACTCAAACCGCCGCCTTTGAGACCAGGTTCCTTGTTAGTGAACAGGAGCAGTAAAAAGTAAAAAGCTTCTTATTTATTCCCCAGATAGCTGAAAGCTATAGGGGTTCTAACTTCTAATAAAGAAGGAAAAGTGATTTGCGAGATTGAGGGCCGGGTGCTAGGGGGCATGCAGTTTGGGGTGCTGGTGGAGGTGCTGCTTTGCGAGCTTGACAGCGGGTGCCAAAAGGCATGCAGCTTGGGGTGCTAGTTCCCCAGATAGCTGAAAGCTATAGGGGTTCTAACTTCTAATAAAGAAGGAAAAGTGATTGGTGCTAGGGGGCATGCAGTTTGGGGTGCTGGTGGAGGTGCTGCTTTGCGAGCTTGACAGCCGGGTGCCAAAAGGCATGCAGCTTGGGGTGCTAGTAGTGGAGGTGCTTTTGCGAGAGTGATGGCAGGGTGCTAGGGGGCATGCAGTTTGGGGTGCTGGTGGAGGTGCTGTTTTGCGTGCTTGACGGCCGGGCGCTAGGGGGCATGCAGTTTGGGGTGTTGGTGGAGGTGCTGTTTTGCGAGAGTGATGGCAGGGTGCTAGGGGGCATGCAGTTTGGGGTGCTGGTGGAAGTGCTGTTTTGCGAGCTTGACGGCCGGGCGCTAGGGGGCATGCAGTTTGGGGTGTTGGTGGAGCCGGGCGCTAGGGGGCATGCAGTTTGGGGTGTTGGTGGAGGTGCTGTTTTGCGAGAGTGATGGCCGGGTGCTAGGGGGCATGCTGCGAGTGGAGGTGCTGTTTTGCGAGAGTGATGGCCGGGTGCTAGGGGGCAGGTGTTGGTGGAGGTGCTGTTTTCCGGGTGCTAGGGGGCATGCAGTTTGGGGTGCTAGTGGAGGCGCTGTTCTGCGACAGTGATGCTGGTTGACGGCCGGGTGCCAGGTGTGACGTGCTGGTGAAGGTGCTTTGCGAGATTGATGGCCGGGTGCTAGGGGGCATGCAGTTTGGGGTGCTAGTGGAGGTGCTGTTTTGCGAGAGTTGGCCGGGCGCTAAAGGCATTCAGTTTGGGGTGTTGGTGGAGGTGCTGTTTTGCGAGAGTGTTTGCCTGTTTTGCGAGAGTGATGGCCGGGTGCTAGGGGGCATGCGGTTTCGGGTGTTGGTGGAGGTGCTGTTTTGCGAGATTGACGGCCGTGTGCCAGATGTAGTTCGGGGTGCTGGTGCTGTTTTGCGAGCTTGACGCAGTTTGGGGTGGTGGTGCAACTGCTGTGTTGGGTTGCCGGGGTTCTAACTTCTAATGAAGAAGTGGGATTGTTTTGCAAGATCGACGGTTGGGAGCTAGGGGGCATGCACTTTGGGGTGCTGGCGCAGGTACAGTTTTGAGGTGCTGTTCGGGCTGGTGACAGTACGTGACGGCAAGGTGCTCGGTGCTCGAGGACCTGTCCAATGCTGGTGCGGGTGCTGCGTTGGGGTGCTGTTGGGGCTGCTGTCTTGAGGTGTTGGTGACGGTGTGGGCGCATATGGACGGCAGGGTGCTAGGGCGGGTGCTGTTTCATGATGTAGTAGTCTAACAGTCGTTTGTCATGGTGCGTGGTTCGTGGCTGGTGTGTCATCATGATGTTGTCACCCGCGTCATGATGCTGCTGTCACTGCGATGCTGCGATGCTGCGTTATGGTTCGTGGGTGTGGTGGCGCCATGATTGCTGCCAACATCAGGATGATGCTGAATTTCACTACGCTGTCGCGAGAAGATTCGTGGCTGTGGTATCATCATGATGCTGCCTTTTCAATTTTACCATTACCATGATGCTGTTCGCATCACCATGATGCTGTCCGCATCATGGTGGTGCTGTCCGCATGATCGTGATGCTGTCCGCATCATCATGATGCTGTCGAACTCATCAGGACGTCGTCTCTGCCTTTTTTCTGCTAGATATGTGGCGCGGAATCGTTCGTTGGGTGCATCAGCATGAGGCTGTCAACATCATCATTTTTGCTGCTGAACTCATTAGGACGGTGTCTTCGTGTCTATTTAGCGCACATGCTGAGTGGCTGTGGTATCATCATGATGCTTTCAACATCATCATGATGCTGTCAACATCATCATGATGCCTCGGGAACCAGTATGATGCTGCATACTGGTTCGTAGCCGTGATGTGCTATCTGGGGTCTACGCTGGTGTAATAGTGGAGGTGCTTTTGCGAGAGTGATGGCAGGGTGCTAGGGGGCATGCAGTTTGGGGTGCTGGTGGAGGTGCTGTTTTGTGTGCTTGACGGCCGGGCGCTAGGGGGCATGCAGTTTGGGGTGTTGGTGGAGGTGCTGTTTTGCGAGAGTGATGGCAGGGTGCTAGGGGGCATGCAGCTTGGGGTGCTGGTGGAGGTGCTGTTTTGCGAGCTTGACGGCCGGGCGCTAGGGGGCATGCAGTTTGGGGTGTTGGTGGAGGTGCTGTTTTGCGAGAGTGATGGCCGGGTGCTAGGGGGCATGCAGTTTGGGGTGTTGGTGGAGGTGCTGTTTTGCGAGAGTGATGGCCGGGTGCTAGGGGGCATGCTGCAAGTGGAGGTGCTGTTTTGCGAGAGTGATGGCCGGGTGCTAGGGGGCAGGTGTTGGTGGAGGTGCTGTTTTCCGGGTGCTAGGGGGCATGCAGTTTGGGGTGCTAGTGGAGGTGCTGTTCTGCGACAGTGATGCTGGTTGACGGCCGGGTGCCAGGTGTGACGTGCTGGTGAAGGTGCTTTGCGAGATTGATGGCCGAGCGCTACGGGGCATGCAGTGGGTGCTGGTGGAGGTGTTGCTTTGCGAGAGTGATGGCCGGGTGCTAGGGGGCATGCAGTTTGGGGCGCTAGTGGAGGTGCTGTTTTGCGAGAGTTGGCCGGGCGCTAAAGGCATTCAGTTTGGGGTGTTGGTGGAGGTGCTGTTTTGCGAGAGTGTTTGCCTGTTTTGCGAGAGTGATGGCCGGGTGCTAGGGGGCATGCGGTTTCGGGTGTTGGTGGAGGTGCTGTTTTGCGAGATTGACGGCCGTGTGCCAGATGTAGTTCGGGGTGCTGGTGCTGTTTTGCGAGCTTGACGCAGTTTGGGGTGGTGGTGCAACTGCTGTGTTGGGTTGCCGGGGTTCTAACTTCTAATGAAGAAGTGGGATTGTTTTGCAAGATCGACGGTTGGGAGCTAGGGGGCATGCACTTTGGGGTGCTGGCGCAGGTACAGTTTTGAGGTGCTGTTCGGGCTGGTGACAGTACGTGACGGCAAGGTGCTCGGTGCTCGGGGACCTGTCCAATGCTGGTGCGGGTGCTGCGTTGGGGTGCTGTTGGGGCTGCTGTCTTGAGGTGTTGGTGACGGTGTGGGCGCATATGGACGGCAGGGTGCTAGGGCGGGTGCTGTTTCATGATGCCGTTGAACCGGTTCGGACGTTGTTGCTGCTTAGTAGTGTAGTGTAACAGTCGTTTGTCATGGTGCGTGGTTCGTGGCTGGTGTGTCATCATGATGTTGTCACCCGCGTCATGATGCTGCTGTCACTGCGATGCTGCGATGCTGCGTTATGGTTCGTGGGTGTGGTGGCGCCATGATTGCTGCCAACATCAGGATGATGCTGAATTTCACTACGCTGTCGCGAGAAGATTCGTGGCTGTGGTATCATCATGCTGCCTTTTCAATTTTACCATTACCATGATGCTGTTCGCATCACCATGATGCTGTCCGCATCATGGTGGTGCTGTCCGCATGATCGTGATGCTGTCCGCATCATCATGATGCTGTCGAACTCATCAGGACGTCGTCTCTGCCTTTTTTCTGCTAGATGTGGCGCGGAATCGTTCGTTGGGTGCATCAGCATGAGGCTGTCAACATCATCATTTTTGCTGCTGAACTCATTAGGACGGTGTCTTCGTGTCTATTTAGCGCACATGCTGAGTGGCTGTGGTATCATCATGATGCTTTCAACATCATCATGATGCTGTCAACATCATCATGATGCCTCGGGAACCATTATGATGCTGCATACTGGTTCGTAGCCGTGATGTGCTATCTGGGGTCTACGCTGGTGTAATTGATGTTTTACATTTTTCCCCAGATAGCTGAAAGCTATAGGGGTTCTAACTTTCTAATAAAGAAGGAAAAGTGATTTGCGAGATTGAGGGCCGGGTGCTAGGGGGCATGCAGTTTGGGGTGCTGGTGGAGGTGCTGCTTTGCGAGCTTGACAGCCGGGTGCAAAAAGGCATGCAGCTTGGGGTGCTAGTAGTGGAGGTGCTTTTGCGAGAGTGATGGCAGGGTGCTAGGGGGCATGCAGTTTGGGGTGCTGGCGTGCTTGACGGCCGGGCGCTGGGGGGGATGCAGTTTGGGGTGTTGGTGGAGGTGCTGTTTTGCGAGAGTGATGGCAGGGTGCTAGGGGGCATGCAGTTTGGGGTGCTGGTGGAGGTGCTGTTTTGCGAGCTTGACGGCTGGGTGCTAGGGGGCATGCAGTTTGGGGTGCTGGTGGAGGTTGCTGTTTTGCGAGAGTGATGGCGGAGTAGGGGGCATGCAGTTTGGGGTTGTTGGTGGTGGGTTGCTGTTTTGCTGAGAGTGATGGCCGGTGCTATGGGGGCATGCTGCGAGGTAGGTTGTGTTTTGCGAGAGTGATGGCCGGGTTTTGCTAGGTGGCAGGTGTTGGTGGGAGGTGTGCTTTCGGGTGCTAGGGGGCATGCAGTTTGGGGTGCTAGTGGAGGCGCTGTTCTGCGACAGTGATGCTGGTTGACGGCCGGGTGCCAGGTGTGACGTGCTGGTGAAGGTGCTTTGCAAGATTGATGGCCGAGCGCTACGGAGGTGCTGCTTTGCGAGCTTGACAGCCGGGTGCCAAAAGGCATGCTAGTAGTGGAGGTGCTGTTTTGCGAGAGTGATGGCAGGGTGCTAGGGGGCATGCAGTTTGGGGTGCTGGTGGAGGTGCTGTTTTGCGTGCTTGACGGCCGGGCGCTAGGGGGCATGCAGTTTGGGGTGTTGGTGGAGGTGCTGTCTTGCGAGAGTGATGGCAGGGTGCTAGGGGGCATGCAGTTTGGGGTGCTGGTGGAGATGCTGTTTTGCGAGCTTGACGGCCGGGCGCTAGGGGGCATGCAGTTTGGGGTGTTGGTGGAGGTGCTGTTTTGCGAGAGTGATGGCCGGGTGCTAGGGGGCATGCAGTTTGGGGTGTTGGTGGAGGTGCTGTTTTGCGAGAGTGATGGCCGGGTGCTAGGGGGCATGCTGCGAGTGGAGGTGCTGTTTTGCGAGAGCGATGGCCGGGTGCTAGGGGGCAGGTGTTGGTGGAGGTGCTGTTTTCCGGGTGCTAGGGGGCATGCAGTTTGGGGTGCTAGTGGAGGTGCTGTTCTGCGACAGTGATGCTGGTTGACGGCCGGGTGCCAGGTGTGACGTGCTGGTGAAGGTGCTTTGCGAGATTGATGGCCGAGCGCTACGGGGCATGCAGTGGGTGCTGGTGGAGGTGTTGCTTTGCAAGAGTGATGGCCGGGTGCTAGGGGGCATGCAGTTTGGGGTGCTAGTGGAGGCGCTGTTTTGCGAGAGTTGGCTGGGCGCTAAAGGCATTCAGTTTGGGGTGTTGGTGGAGGTGCTGTTTTGCGAGAGTGTTTGCCTGTTTTGCGAGAGTGATGGCCGGGTGCTAGGGGGCATGCGGTTTCGGGTGTTGGTGGAGGTGCTGTTTTGCGAGATTGACGGCTGGGTGCCAGATGTAGTTCGGGGTGCTGGTGCTGTTTTGCGAGCTTGACGCAGTTTGGGGTGGTGGTGCAACTGCTGTGTTGGGTTGCCGGGGTTCTAACTTCTAATGAAGAAGTGGGATTGTTTTGCAAGATCGACGGTTGGGAGCTAGGGGGCATGCACTTTGGGGTGCTGGTGCAGGTACAGTTTTGAGGTGCTGTTCGGGCTGGTGACAGTACGTGACGGCAAGGTGCTCGGTGCTCGAGGACCTGTCCAATGCTGGTGCGGGTGCTGCGTTGGGGTGCTGTTGGGGCTGCTGTCTTGAGGTGTTGGTGACGGTGTGGGCGCATATGGACGGCAGGGTGCTAGGGCGGGTGCTGTTTCATGATGCCGTTGAACCGGTTCGGACGTTGTTGCTGCTCTAGTACTCTAACAGTCGTTTGTGATGGCGCGTGGTTCGTGGCTGGTGTGTCATTATGATGTTGTCACCCGCATCATGACGCTGCTGTCACTGCGATGCTGCGATGCTGCGTTGTGGTTCGTGGGTGTGGTGGCGCCATGATTGCTGCCAACATCAGGATGATGCTGAATTTCACTACGCTGTCGCGAGAAGATTCGTGGCTGTGGTATCATCATGATGCTGCCTTTTCAATTTTACCATTACCATGATGCTGTTCGCATCACCATGATGCTGTCCGCATCATGGTGGTGCTGTCCGCATGATCGTGATGCTATCCGCATCATCATGATGCTGTCGAACTCATCAGGACGTCGTCTCTGCCTTTTTTCTGCTAGATATGTGGCGCGGAATCGTTCGTTGGGTGCATCAGCATGAGGCTGTCAACATCATCATTTTTGCTGCTGAACTCATTAGGACGGTGTCTTCGTGTCTATTTAGCGCACATGCTGAGTGGCTGTGGTATCATCATGATGCTTTCAACATCATCATGATGCTGTCAACATCATCATGATGCCTCGGGAACCATTATGATGCTGCATACTGGTTCGTAGCCGTGATGTGCTATCTGGGGTCTACGCTGGTGTAATTTTATTTATTTGTTTGGGGGAGCGTTCCTTGTTCTCGCACACAATAGCCACGGTAGCTCTCCCTCACTACCACCTACAAAATATAAGGTGGCAAACTGGTGCAACAATGGTTGCACAGCCCCCAGCTCTCAAGTGAAAAAGAAGAAAAAAAAGGAAAAAACGAAAGGAAAGTCGTCGTAAACAACAGGGGGGTGAAAAAAAACAGCTTTGGACACCGCGCCCCAAAAAGGGAGGGGAAATTCGGATTTGGACACCGCGCCCCCCCCCAAAAAAAATATGTTCCTTTTGCTTTTCGGCGAAGGGCACCCTCAAAAAGATTACCCCCACACACACACACACAAACAAACACACACGAACACAGACACACACACACACACACACCCAAACACGCAAACACGCAAACACACAAACACACAAACACACAAACACGCAAGCACGCAAACACGCAAACATACAAACACACAAACACACAAACACAAACACGCAAACACGCAAACACGCAAACACACAAACACACAAACACGCAAACACGCAAACACGCAAACACGCAAACACGCAAACACACGAACACACGAACACACAAACACACGAACACGCAAACACACAAACAAACACACACACACACACAGACACACACACACACAAACAACAAAACACACACACACACACACACACACACACACACACACGCTCACGCCCGCACGCCCGCACGCCCGCACGCACCCGCACGCACACACGCACGGACGCGCGCGCGCACGCACGCACGCACAGACACAGACACAGACACAGACACAGACACAGACACAGACACAGACACAGACACAGACACAGACACAGACACAGACACAGCCACAGACACAGACACAGACACAGACACAGACACAGACACAGACACAGACACAGACACAGACACAGACACAAACACAGACACACACACAGACACACACACACACAAACACACACACACACACAGCTGGGCCCTTTTGTCATTCAAACGGAAGCTAAGATGACGCCGCGGGCACACATTCCTATTTTGACAAGCCCGATGGGTTTTTAGAACCGTCAAGCGCAAAGCCCATTTTGGGGGGCCCAAGTCCCTATTTGACATACTCACAGCTTCTCCCCAGATCTGAAAGGAGAAGCCGCTTCTTCCACTCTAAAGGAGGCCGGTGCGTTTGCATTGTCCGACACGCAAACGCCTGACACGCATTGCGCGACCCGCTGAAGGACGACAAACAAATGGCCATGGGTCAAAAGCCCGTAACCCCAGTAGTGAACATCGCAATCCCCACTAACATACACTAAAATGGGTGGTGCACCTACAGTATCCCAAAATGGTACCCACAGCCAAGTAGGCTCCTTTCGAACGCTACACATATACATCCCGCTTATCAGAACCTTTTGAACTTGCAGGCACGCGGCTCACATCCTCTGGCGTGGATGGGCTGAGCCTGCGCGCGCCCAACGCGCTCGTCTCTAGCCATGGCCAAGACTCCCGTTGTCACGCCGTCGGAAAAGGCGAAGGGCTGCTTAGCCGTAGCGACCCTTATACAAGATGATCAAGATGTTTAAAGGGTTCCTCAATATTATAGTCAACACCTGCATCACTCACGAATGCTTACGGCACCCCTGTTCTTTTTCACCCATAGAGGTTGCTAGTTCACGGCGGCGAGATTTCTACAGTATGTCCACCACGAACTTCCTGGAAGCACATGTCTGCTAAACGCATCGCAGGCGCGGTACTCTCAAAAAAAGCCAACCAAGCCCTCGGGGCCCACCACTGCTTTGAAGACCCAAGCCTGAAGTCACGCCAAACTTGCCACAGCAAGTGCTCGAAGCATAGGAACCATGTTTCAGAACCGAGCTTTGTTAACTTGATTTTTCGCAGTCCCGAGCTTCTGAGAAAAAATGAAGCAAAACATACTCAATCATGGCTCAGGCTTCAGGATATGAAGGCTTGCCATCTTCCTTTGCGGGCGTCTGTTTGTCAGGCGAGTAAGCGAGGCCCTGCTTGACGTGGTTTTGGTTTGTCGGTCGCCCGCCGACACTTCTCTGCTTTACGGCTCAGAAGCTCATGGCAATGGGCAAGCGAAAGCAGTTCTAGATTGCTCCAGCCGAAACGATGGGGCTTCACATTGTGCACGAGCGGGACTGTGAGTCCTTCCGCGCTTGCATGTGTGTGTGTGTGTGCGTGCGCGCGTGCAGGCGTGCGTGCGTTCTTGCGCGCGTGCGGGTGTGGGTGTGTGCGTGTGCGCGTGCGTGCGTAGGTGCGTGGCGCGTGAAGCGTGTGTGCGCGTGTGCGTGTGCGTGTGCGTGTGCGGGTACGCGTGCGTGTGCGTGTGCGTGTGCGTGTGCGTGTGTGCGTGTGTGCGTGTGTGTGCGTGTGTGCGTGTGTGTGTGTGGGTTTGTGGGTGTGTGGGTGTGTGGGTCTGTGGGTGTGTGGGTGTGTGGGTGTGAGGGGGTGTGGGGGTGTGGGTGTGTGGGGGTGTGTGGCGGTGTGGGTGTGGGTGTGTGTGTGGGTGTTGTGTGTGTTGTGTGTGTTGTGTGTGTTGTGTGTGTGTGCGTGTTGTGTGTCTTTTGTGTGTGTTGTGTGTGTGTTGTGTGTGTTGTGTGTGTGTGTGTTGTGTGTGTGTTGTGTGTGTTGTGTGTGTGTGTGTTGTGTGTGTGTTGTGTGTGTGTGTGTTGTGTGTGTGTTGTGTGTGTGTTGTGCGTTGTGTGCGTTGTGTGTGTGTGTGTGTTGTGTATGTGTGTGTGTTGTGTGTGTGTTGTGTGTGTGTTGTGTGTGTGTTGTGTGTGTTGTGTGTGTTGTGTGCGTTGTGTGTGTTGGGTGTGTTGTCTGTGTCTGTTGTGTGTTGTGTGTGTGTGTTGTGTATTTGCGTGTTTGCGTGTTTGTGTGTTTGTGTGTTTGTTGTGTGTGGTGTGTGTGTGGTGT